AAATAATACTCTTAACATAGAGATGCAATGGTATTTATGCAACATTTATAAGAATATGACTATGAATAGCCACAGCAATACCAGCAGATAAAGCCCTAAAACATAATTGTAATGTAAATTCCTATCTAATAGATTAGCTTTAGCTTTATAGTTGATTATAACGACATACAATGTCAATAAGGTTTGTTCAAGTAACTCAGTTCTTAGGTTTAACCAGAGCATTGCCCGCAGCATTAAAGTTTGTGTTCGAGCCAAAATAACAAATTACAACTCAGATGCTGCCAAAGGTATATCTAAACCTGATAAAACCTATAGGGCATTTTCCAATAGTCCAGACATTGCAAGAAGGAAACCAATGCAAAGACATTCTCGCCAATATGGGGGAGAAGTAAGAGGAGGGACTAGTGGAACTTTTAGTTCCACCTCACCAACAGTAACAAGCCATCAGGGCATACTTGATTAGTGTAGCTTTTGTAAGGGAGGTACCCAAAAAAAAACACAAAAAACCTATAGGGCATTGCCTGTACATTGTCAAACCATTAGATAATTATGAGCAGGTATGTGTGTCTAAATAGAATTACAATTAAGCTGTTTCACAATACAATCATGACAGCCATAAAGATAAAACTGAATTTTTCAAGATCCAATTAATAAAAAAAAAAATTGCGCAGGAAAATGCATACCAATTTTTGAGTCCGAGGCAGAAGGTAAGAACACTGTTGCGTCTGGATTTTGGGCTGTGAAACTGACCACGTCATATGACTTTCCTGTAATTTGTTAATATCGACCTATTCATCAGGAGATAAAATTAAAGTTGCTTAAAACAGCAAAAGTTTTTTTTTTTTTTTTTTTTTTTTTTGGGGGGGGGGGGTTAAAAATTGAACTTAGCCCCTATTCATAATTGCTAAGAGATATACTCTACTTACCAGATGAACCAGCAAAAGTGCCCAATAGTCCATTTTGATGAAGATTCAGTGAAACTTCTTGCTCATCAAAATCAGGAGGCTGCCACACTCAAGAATAAGTAAACTGAGAGCCAGAAACACCGAACAAAATTTCACGAAGAAAGAGGCAAAAGGTATAGATTAAGGGCAAAGCAAAACAAAAAAAAACTATTACATGATTAATCGGCCATTGGATAAGCCAAAGTTCAGTCGAGTCGGTTCGATTACGATCAACTAGTGACTCCTTTGTATCCTCATGAAATTCTGGCGGAGGTTTGTAAGCTAATTCTTTAGTACCATCCATTGCCTCAACGATTCCAACTCACCACCTCTCTTAATGAGACACACACACAGACGAAGGGAAGACGCAATACCACAGAGGGGGAGAGAGAGAGGGCGAGAAAGAGAGTGAGAGAGGTGAGGGAGAGACGCAATGGGCACGGCTCCTCTGCTCCTTGATAACAGCAAATGTTGCTGTTAGCTCAAACGACGCCGCATCAACACAAGACAAAGCAGCCGGCTCCCAAAATTCAAGACCAAACAAAATAAATATTAATAAGGGTTCTGCCTAAATTTGATACAAAAATTTATCAAGTATTTGAATTAAATTTAATATTATAATTCTAATCCAAGTTTTTTGATCATAACCAACCAAGCAACAATATATTAAGTAGGAAAGTTAGAATTACAATCAGACAAAAGAGAAGTCTTAAGCTCGAAAAAGAGGAAGTCTAACTAATCAAAATGAAGGAAATTGGTTAGTTTAGCAGTAGCCACCTAATGAATAGTCCTATTACAGATCTTAAGCTTGTATAGAAAACTAAAGTTATGTAATCTAGCTAAAAATCTAATATCCTCCATAATAACTTTAATTTCCCACGGGGAAACATCCTCTCTAGAATTTAGTTTAATAATAGAAAGGCATTCATTCAAAATTGTAACATTTGAGAGCAAAAGGGCAGCAGCAACTTGGTAGGCGTAGCGCACTGCCTCAACTTCAGAGGTAGCCAAAATATTGTGGCAAGCCCCTCCACCAAAAATGTTTGACTTTAGGCAAGGCCTTCATGTTCCAAAGGATCTGCCAAAGAATGGGATGAGGGGAAGAAGAGGAACTGCACTCAGATAGAGTCCGGTTCTGCATGGATCCCAATCGATAGCCAAATTTCACAAAATAGGTCCCTTTACGATCATGCCACCAAATTCTACTGTCAGGCCCACTGGTGAGCAATAAAGGGATGGCTTTAATATACTCAACCTCTTGCACAGAAACAAAAGAAGATAATCTAGAAATATCCCATCCAATGGGGTTCACCTTGAAAATCAGCCACTGTGGAAAACTGACAGTAAAGAGGTTTCGGACAGAGAACAGAGCGCGAAAAGGCAAGGGGAACCCATTTATCAAGTCAAAAGTTAACATCCTTCCCATTCCCAATCTGCCACATGACACCCTTAGCAAGAAACTCCCTTCCAAAACGAAGACTACTTCAAGCCCAAGAAAGATGGTTACCTCGTTTGGCAGACATAAAATCATCATTGGAAAAATAAATCGCTTTTGTGAACTTCGCCCAAAAAGAGTCATGTTAAGAGATTAATCACCAGCATTGTTTCGCCAAGAGAGCCTGGTTAAATAATTTGAAGTCCTTGAAACCCATACCACCAGAAGCTTTGGAGTTACTCATATTTAGCCACTTTTTCCAGCAAATACCAGTTCCCACGTTAAAACCCTTCCACCAAAACATTCTAACATAGCTATCCAACTTATTACAAAAACTGGTGGGAAAAGCCACCACAGACATGGCATAGTTGGGTTATAGCTTGGATCACCGCCTTGATCAGGACCTCCTTACCAGCCAGTGAAAGACATGACCCTCTCCACCCTTAAAGCTTCTTAGCCACTCTTTCCAATAAAAAATCAAAGATCGTATTTCTAGATCGCCCCCACATGGAAGGGATACCCAAATATTTAGCTTGATGTGGGAGGGGCTGCAAACCTAAAAGATGACAGAAGAAAGACTTCTGATCATTGGAGGAGTTCTCAGAAAAAATGATACCAAACTTTTGGAGATTGGCACACTAACCAGAGGTAGAACAAAAGCATTGCAAAATCCTGATAAACTCACGGACATAAGCTTCCTTCCCATTGACAAAGAAAAGGGAATCATCAACAAAAAAGAGATGGGATAAAATTGGGCTCCTCCTTTTGATTTTAATACCCACAAGGCATTTGTTTGCCACCCCCCTTAGCATCATGGAAGATAAGACATCAGTAACAAAAAGAAAAAGATAGGGAGAAAGAGGTCCCCTTTTCGAATGCCTCGTTGAGGTATGATAGCACACTTACGATCCCCATTAAGCAACACCTTATAAGACATAGTAGATGCACACTACATTATGAGTTGCACCCAACGACAATCAAATCCCATAGCCAACATCATGGCTTCCAAAAAATCCCACTCTACTCGATCATATGCCTTGCTAATGTCCAGCTTGATTGCCAATTCAGGGACTTGGCCATTCTTCTTTCCTTTGAGGTGATGAAAAACTTCATTAGCCATGAAAATGCAATCCTGAATTTGACGATTAGGGATAAAAGCTGCTTGATTAAGAGAAATAATAGAGCTTAGGAAGCACTCCATGACCTTAGAAATCACGTTATACGCAAAATTACATAAAGCAATAGGTCTGAATTGAGAAATGGCCTTAGGCGCCTCCTCCTTCGGGATCAAAACAATGTTGGTCTGGTTAAGCAAAATAGGTAGACAACCCTTGTCAAAGAAATCCTTGACCATCATGAAAACGTCGTTCCCAACAATGTGCCAGAATTGGTGGAAAAATAGTCCAGGGAAACCATCAGGGCCAGGAGCTTTGAGGGCTCCCAGCACAGAAACAGCACCCCAAACTTCAGACACAGAGATATCACGAAGAAGAAGATGATTCATATCAACAGTTACTTTAAGATGAACAACAGTCAAAGCACACCAATCCCTATCCCCAACAGTCGTGAATAGCTCCTGAAAATAGGCTTTGATATGGTCAGAAATACCCTCCTCCCCTTCAATCCATTCATCAACATCCTTCTTTAGTCTAACAATACGATTGCAATTACGCCACTGAATAGTAAAAACATAAAAAAAAAATGTGTATTCTGATCACCACTTTTAAGCCAATTAAGCCTAGACCGTTGCATCCAAATTTGTTCCTCCCTACATCTAACAGCATCAAGCTGAGAACAAACATCAGCCTCCCAGATAAGGTTCTCCTCAGAAGGGTCAAGATTCTGAACATGACATAGCTCCTTTTCCAATTCCCGAATAAGCTTTTTGTTGTTCCCAAATTTGAGTCTACTCCACTCAATTAGCCTATTTTTACATTTCCCCAGATTAGAGGTAACCGTGAAAAAAGGCGAACAGATTTATGGGAAGTCCAATTAATCTTGATAACCTCCTCACAAGCGGGGTCTTCCAACCACATACATTCAAATTTGAAATGAAAAGTTCCCTTCAGGGAAGACTTCCCTAAGTCAATCACAATGGGGTAGTGGTCAGACCCCATTCGGGCCTCATGCACCACAAGAGTAGAGGAAAACGATTCACACCAGTCAAAATTAATCAAAACTCTATCAAGCCTTTCTTGCACATTAGCGTTACCTGATCTATTGTCAGACCAAGTGAACTGGGGACCGCTGAAGCTCAACTCCAAAAGATTACAGTCAGAAATAAGATTCTGAAGTTCCTCAACACGTTTGAAGTTTGCTGGGTTGCCCCTTTCTTATCATTCAAAGAACCAATAACATTAAAATCCCCAAGAACAATCCAAGGACAATCAACCACCCTAGCCATGGCCTTTAGGCATTCCCAAGTCCTCTGACGCTTTGCAGCACTTGGATCCCCATAGAGAAAGGTACCTCTCCAAGTCATTAGTTGTTGTGCATATTTACAGATAATATTGAAAAAAATTCAAACTCTGTTCCACCAAATGTACACAAATATCATCAGTCCACCATAAAGCAAGCCCTCCCGAGAGGCCCACAAGATCACTATACACACTAGAATTGTAATGTAAAGATCTTTTCAACCCCTCTAATTTATGGGATTTATACTTAGTCTCCATAAAAAAAATGATTAAGGGGCGATGGGAATCAATAAGCCCTCTAAGATTACAAAATATCCGGGGTCGCCCTACTCCTTGACAGTTACACGATAGGATTAGCATGAGTCATGTGGCTGTTGAAGGTCAGCTACCACCACCTGTTCCAGTTGACAAACTGAGTTTTCTGCATCTGACAAAGCATAAAAAGGTTGTGAGAACCAATGGGACATACTCCGGTTGATGTTATTCTCCCCTCTACCTTCCCAATTACCATCTTCCTCCATCTCTTGTTTTTGTCACATCTATTTTTCATAATCCTCCACATACACAAAATGTAACTCAGATTTAGATCTTATAGCTGGTCTTTTGTTGGCCTTGCATTTATACCTCTTGGGTTGAATTTTGAGAAGCCGCTGATCTCCGTGGTCATGAAGTGAAAAATTAGGAACCAAAGGGGGCCTCGGTGGAGATAGAAAATGAGGGAAAAGACAAAGACTTGGAATGGTGAGAAGTTTATTCCTTTTAAGGCCCATTGACTGGGTGTCCCCTTCAACATTATCACACTAGGCTTTCCTCTTCAAAGACATATGCTGAAAAATGGACCTCCATTGTATTACCATAATCCGCAGTCCCACTATCCAAGATAACATAAACCACTTGATCACCAGATGGCTGGGCTTCCAAGCTAGCAGATGATTCAATAACAAAATAGGATCCCTTCTTTACCGTAACAAACATACCAGAATTCTCCTTGGAGACAGAGTGGATAGAATTAAAGTCTCAATCGTGGTCCTCACCCAGAAAAGGCACAACAGCCAGGGGAGGAGTGCTAAAAATAGAATCACTTGTGCAATTTTGCAAATCACCCGAAAGGATTTACATTAGAAGCCTTTGGATTGTTCTCAAGAAGGTCAGCTTGAACTTCCATGTGCTTGTCACCTTGTGCTGCACTAGAAACAAGAGACCCATGAACGGTAGGGCGGCCTTTTCCCATACCACAAGAAGTTTACCTTTGAGCTTCGCTCTTTTTCCCATATTCTCCCGAGTCATGAGAGACCATGTTTCCCGGAAGAAACCTGAAGAAGAACTGCTTGGTGCACACAAATCTGGGCCAAAGTGGCTCTTAGAACCCAAAGTACACCTCTCCTGGCAATGGCTTTGGGAATGACCTATCATTCCACAAAGATAACAGAAATCAGAAAGCATTTCGTACTGTAGGTTGATCCAAATATCATCTTGGTTATCCTGAGCAAGAAAGAAACCCTTTTTTAGGGGTTCCTGAAGGTTGATCTGGCACTTAACCCGTAAGAAATTACGCTAGAACTGAACATCACCATCGAATTCCTTCAACTGTGTAAGTTCCCCAATGACCCTTCCTATCCTCCAAGAGTTGTTTTTAGTCATTAAATCCAGTGGTAAGCCCTGAACTTGGACCCAGAACTCAGAGAAATGAAAATCGAAATCACTGATGATAAACTGAGGGTGATAGGTTTTTAATACCAGCAAGGCTCCCATGACAGACCAGGGACCCTCCTCCAAAATCTTATCCCTATCATTCTCCTCTTTGAACATGAACATATATGTATTTTTCTCCCAGTATGTAATGGAGAAACCCTTAGACGTTTTCTAGGAACTTTGCAAGACATTGGAAACCCCTTGTTTATTTAGGTTGATGTTTGTATAAAAGCGACCCACAATACAGAACTTCTCAACATTTTTAGATGTGGAAGGATCAGAGAATAAGGATATACGAGGGGAAAAAAAGGCGTGCGAATCGACTTCTGAATCTTTCTCCATACAAAAGAGAAAGGAAGCAAATAGACCAAAAGCACAAAAGATGGGAAGCCAGCAAACACCCCCAAGCAAAACCCACAAGAGAAAAAAGAGAACTGTAGAATAGTGTAGAAAATGAGAGTTAGGGAAGACAATAGGGAAACTCAAAAAAAGGAGAACAGAGACAAGAACCAGTGAGATCAGCTGGAAAAGAAAAGAGAGAGTAAGGACGAAAGGGAGGGAAGGAAAGGGAAGGGAGTAAACTTGAAGAAAAGGAAGCGGACCAAAGGGAAATGGACAGAAGATCGATGAGGCGCATTAAAGGGACAGTAAATGAGGGGCGAATCGGGAACCCAAACAAAAGAAACCACAGGATTAACCTCTTCGATACCCAAAAAAACAGAGATCAATGAGCCATAAAACAAAAAAATGAGGAAAACCTCAGATGAAACCCTAATGAGGGTAAGGAGCTCTCAGACCGATTCGCAAGTTTGAATCCAATAGAAAAATTATACTAATAAATTTAACCAAAATACTTGAAATATTTTCTTTTGAATAATCTATATTCGAATTCAATTGAAATAACATATTTGATCCGAACAAAATCGTTCAACTAAATAATAATAAAATCTAAATTTTAATTCAATTTCATAGATTCTTATAGAATAGAGAATTGATACTACTTCCTCATTTACACACACAAACACACATATCTCGAATAAGAACAAAATTTAAATAAATATAAGTATATTTAAATTTAAATTCACGAAATATGATATAATTGACTTAAAAAATATTAATTTATATCCATGTAATCAAACTTATTACAAAATTAAGGGATTTTTTCACTCGATTTAACTTGCATAAATATCAGATGAATTTTTAATTTATAAGAATACATTAGCTTTGATTTTTCTTAAGAGATAAAAAAATTTTAGTGTTAAAAGATTCACGAGATATGTGTATCAAATATGCATTAGACATGTTATTTTGAGATATTTGATATGATTAATTAATTAAATCAATAAAATTAAAATTAATTATATTTAATATAAACATAAAATGAGATGATGAAATACCATAGGAATTATGTCTCAATTGTTAAACAGTGTCCTTGTTAATATCTGTTGGGGCTGTTTTTGTCTTGTGATGATGCGGCACCGTTTGGACTAATAGCACCATGTGCTGTTATGAAGGAACTGAAGGGGAAACGTGCCCGGTACGCAATACCCTAGTACATCACTAATCCAATCTGATCTCATTTCTTTTATCTTTTTAGGTTACGTGACTAATCTATTTTATCTCTCTTTTAATACAAATTATTTATCACATAATGGTACTTTTTAACCAAATATGTCAAATTACGGTATTTTTAAACTTATTTACTAAATTATGACACTTTTTAAAAACAGATTCAATAATTTCATTTTTATTAAAAAAATAGATTTAATAAATCTGCTTTTGTTAAAAAGCAGAATCAACAACCCTGTTTTTAAATTTTAAAAGAATTAGATAGCAATAAAAATGTGTTTAGCAAACATGTTTTTTAAGTTTTTTTTTAAAAGCGTGTTTACTAAACACACTTTTCACACAAAACAATTCTGCATCTGTCTTCTTTTACTTTCATGTCAGCCAGTTTGTTGTGAGTATGCATTGATGATGCAGAAAATAGGTTACGCACAATCACACAGTCAAATGTATTAATAACAGAAGACAAAGATTGCGTGGTTGGGTCTAGGAGACTAAACCACTGAAGGTGGCAACATTGGCTGGAGAACTTTATTAATAAAGTAATAGGTGAGAGAGAAAGACGGCAAGAGCAAGCTCTGGGTGTAATGTATGAGAGATAGTTGTGTGTGAGATGTCCCTCATATATAAAGGCTTACAATTTATAGGTGTAGAGCCCTAGTTGAAGTGGTGGCGTGAAGGTCAGGTCACTAGCCTCTCGGGGAGGACAGCCACAACTAAGGTTAGGTACAATTAAGGATAGGCGTGATCTTCAAGCAGGGGCTATCTCGATGTTTACTCCCCACGTGCGTTGACCTCCTTGAGACTCTTGCAAGTTGGACTAGATTGAGGCCATGAATTGAACTTGACCTGCCTTCTAATTGATTTGGGCTTACCCCATGAACTGGGCCTAGACCTAGCTGGATTTGGGTTTGTCATTTGTCCCCTATGCCCCAAGCCCCGATTGTGACAATAAGGGTTGAGGGTGTGAGTAAGCCCCTTCATCTAGATAGACAAAGGTTTTCTACACAACAGTAGCTTCCTCCGCTTCTTGCTCTATTTGCACCTTAGGAGCTCACTTTTTCATTTTTTTCATTCTCTTGTTGGACACCCACTATGCCATCACCACTCTAGAGGAGACTTTATCCCTTCATATTAAAAAACCCCATTTCTCCACCTAGGGCACTATTCTTAGTGTTTCAAGAAGTCAGCATTTATAGAACCCCATTTACTCCTCTTTCCTTGAAAATTTTTTGCTTGAAACTTAGAAACTTCCATTGAAGTTTATGAGAGGTTGAAGAATAGGAAATCCATGGATGGTGTTCCGGGAGAAAACCCATCAACAGAGAAGAGAAGGGTTACCCAAGGCAATGCTAATAAAATTTATTTTTGCCCAAAATGCTAATGGAAAAGTGCCCAATAAGCGCAGGTCCAAACGGACTAGGCTTCTTTTCCTCTAAAACCAAAAAAAGATAAGGTTTTAAGCTAGCTCTAATAAGACCTAATATTTAGAAAAAATCCACATGTCTTTTAAGTCTTATGAATTTTTTATGTATTGCATTTGTATATGTCTTTGCGGATACTTCTTTCTATATGTAGAGAAATATGTATAATTTTTAGTTATCATTTAGTGTGCATCCGATATGTATTCTTGAATATCCAACAAATATTGTAATCGAAGCATCCATTCTTCTAAGCGCATAGGTGATCTATCAACGGGGATGAAACAGGCTGAGCAAAATGGATACCCTACCCTGGTCATAAAAGGACAAGGAGAGTAAATTCATAATGGCTGAGGTGCAGGAAAGGATTTCCCCTACTGCTGCGGTGTTGCCATCTCTGGTTTGGAAGGGTGATAAAATTCCAGATGCCTTTTTGATGAACAGTAGAGGAGCCGGATCCGCATACACACAGAGCCTAGGTTTATATGGAAATTCAAGACCTAAGTGATGAAAGTGGTGACAAACGGAGGTTTGTTTTTACCCAGGCTTGAGCTTTTTGTGGATCTCTCATTTTGTACAAGAATTCGTTTCAAAGTCCGACTACAAATTCGACTCCGGTGTCGGGAAATTCCTTTAGAACTCGAGGATCTACGTCGTAGAATTTGTGAAACAACGTTTTCTGGTGACGGAAGATTGTTAGCGATCTGGCCGAAGTTGATTCCAGTTGAGGCCACCATTGTTGGGACTAGAAGCTCAAACCCTAAACACATTTTCGGAGAATACAGTGCTAAATAGGTAATTTAAAACTTTTTTGTTTTTTTGGGTCTAGGTAATTTAAATCCTGAGAAAAACAAAAGTTGAAAACCAAAGACTGATATGTTTTGTTGGGTGGGGTTAGAGATGAAAGTAGATCAGAAAAAAATGAATATTCGTCCAAATTCATCTAGATTATTAGTATTGAACGATGAACGTATACTAAAATACATATATAAACCCGTGCGGATGAAGGCGAAGATAAACTTACCTGCCCTATCTTAGATTCTTGACTCCTCACTCCTCTACCTGCCTCCATCCTCGCACTCACCGACTCACACAGGTCGTTCCTCAACGTCGTCGACTGCTCAGTCCTCACAGTCACAGGTCAGTCATCTCTCTCTCTCTTACTTTGCAAAAATATTTAACAATTTTTTCTCTGATAAGTAGAATTTTTTAAAAATATATGCCTGAAAATGGCCTCTGATAGATCTATTTTCTTCAGACAGCACAGCACAAATTCGCACAGTGATCTAGCAGTAGCAGAGGTAAGTGATGACACGACTACTGCCATGTATGCCTCAAATCTCAAATGAGTTTTTCTGCTGCTAATGCTGACATTGCTTGAAGCCATAGAATATTGCATTATGAGTCTGTGTCTTCGGTCATCATTTTTTGTTTTTCACAGAACTCAATTGGAGGAATATCACACCTTTCAGGAGATCATGTGAATGAGCCATTCATGTTAGTATCTCTGTGGTTTGTGCCTTTTTTTTTTTTTTTGGGTATTTAGTTCCATTACTGTTTGACTATTGATTTTGATGTTTCCTTTTTTCTTTTTCCATTTCTTTTCTCATAGAGGAGAAGATGAAGTCTCTGGTGTACTTCTACATCACAAGCAAGTCATCAAACCTTAATAGCTAAATATGACGGTTGGTTTGCAGATTTTCTTTTGTCATTTTAGTGTTTTATAGGTGATAGTAAAGGCAAGGTGTTTTCCTTTTTTACATGCCTTCTGATTCCTCAATTGAAGCTGGTAATTTTTAATTGACATTGATGAATAGGCTAATTTCAGGTCAAGCACGCGCAGTTGTTTCATGCAGATTAGTGTCGCTAAATTGGAATCAAATCTCAAATGCAAAAAAAAAAAAAAAGAAAAAAAAAAAAAGAAGAAACATGGAATAGAAATCTATAAAATAAAACAGACCTCTTTTTATGATAGATGAATATGCCTCAAAAAAATATATGCCTGAACATTTGTTGTTTATGTTATGTAAAATTATGTTAGATTATTTAGAATGCTGTTGAATTATTTAAAATGTTGAATTTATTTAAAATTTTAGATTATGTTGGCAAAACTTGGGCTTGAGTTTGGGCTTGGGCGGGTATGGGGGAAGCGGAGACGGGGCGGGGATTAAAAATTTTCACGCGGACGGGTATGGGAATGGGGATGAAAATTATACCCGTTAACGGAGATGGACGAAAGTTTTTTAAGCGGGTACAAGAAAGGAAACTATACCCCATGCCCCGCTTCAGTCCATTAACATCCCTAGGTGGGGTTAGGTTTTTGGTAGGTGTGATTTGTAGTCTGCAGAGGAGGAAGAAGAAGAAGACACCTATCAAATTTGATCCACTTGAAACGACCCTTGTGTGATTTGCTTCTAATTTGACCCATTTGATACGTCGAGTCTTTTTTCTTTTAAAAATAATATGATAATTTTTTTATTATTTAATTTAAACAGCTATTTTCGAGTGAATCATATAAAACACAAATTTTAAGTATTAAAAATTATGATGACAATTAAAATACTAAATACCAGACGAAATGCATATTTAAGGAATTATTTTTGTATTTTACTCAAGTATTAGACAAAATTTCTCTCACTTTACTTCATTTATGTATATGAATACAAATTTCTAAAATTTAGGCCAAAAATTTGTATCTTCTTTGCTAATTGATTATTCCTATTTCTCACATCTTTTGAGTTTCAACAACTAATTTTTTTACTTTTTAAGTTTTGTAGCATTGTTTTATATTTACATTCAAATCTGTTAAAGATGGTATAATAGATTTGAATTTGAGAAATAAATCATAAAATCATTTTTCATCTCCCTAATAATATTTGGATTTACAAAGTTTATTCTATCAATTGATACTAGTCTAAAAATTTGAGAGGCATGAGTTGGAAGAACTAATGAGCTCGGTGTGATATGTATGGAGTGTGCACGATGGAATCAGAGAATATACGTAAGAGGTTAAGTGATTCATCAAGTTGAAGAGTTAGACTATTCCACCATCATGGAGACTCTTGCTTCTTTATTGTGTATTGCTTGAGAGAGGGGAAGGGGGTGGTTGCACCGTAGGTATTTGTTCGCACACTATGATAATACAATGGTTTGCCTATTTATACACAAGGTGGGATAATCTCAACAAATTTGTTATGAAATATTTGGGGTAATCATTGATTGTGATACGTTCTCTCTCTTAGGCATGATGCGGCATTCTAAAAGCACCGACATGTCATATTAGAGGTAATAACTTCTTATTCAAGGTGGAATCTATTAATGAAAGCCCTTTTCTGGTTTTTCCGAACTTATATGCATGACTTATCTAGAATTTTGTCAAATCAGATTGGCATATGAATGACCTAACTGGACACAAGTCTGAGTTGAATAATTTCTTCTTCTGATGTCACCACTAATGACATTACTCCAACGACAGGTTGGCTATTTGGATTATTTCGAATTGTGCTTCATTTGGGCTAAGAGAACTCATAGCCCAGGCTTCTATGGTGCTCAAGGGGTCAGCAAACATATTGGTTGGTTGAGGAATTATTTGTAAATAGTGGGAATGGAATAAGCATTGGCTCAAGGGCCTTTATGATCCCTTCCTTAAGACTCTATTTTTTTTTTTTTCCTCTTCCTTCATTATATCTAAAAGAGGTTATCTATGTAAGCAAATTTCGCCATTAGGTTATTGAAAAAATATTAAACACCATATACTTTACCTCCCTTACAAATACAAGTTACTGGAATCCATATTGTACTACCACAATTTCATACTTTATTTTTGAGTTTATTTTTTTATTTCAAAAGTCAAAGGTGTTTGGGCCAACTTACACGCACTTCAACTAATTCTCTCACCGATCCAATCAAAAGCAGGTCATCCACACTAAAATTAGAGTATTTATTATAAATTAAATCTCTCATAACCTGACCCCAAAAATTTACCAATGATAGAATTTTGGACGTTGAGGTTTATAACTCGTCTCTATCTATTATCACTTGAGCTATCTCTTGAGGTTCACGATTTCATACTTTCCACCATATTAGAGGCAAAACTTGTTTCAAAGTCCTACTATCTTTAGTTTATTTCGGAGTTTTACATTATTGAATTGTTCACAAATGAGAAGTTTATGATCATACTAAAGTTTAAAATAGGAGATTGTAGGAGTGCTCTTTAGGGGTCATATTTTAAAAACTGAGAGATATAATCTAAAAGTCACCCTCAATTTGAACTTTTCCCTCTTTCCTTTCTCTGTCTTTGATTTTGCATTTGCTAATTGTTTGAACTTTTCTAAAGAAAGCCTTACCAAGTTAACATTAATTTCATATGCGATATATGTCTGAAATGTTACGAGTCCATCAACTAAATTTTCCACTGTGTTGTAATAAGAAATAAAAATAATTCAGGTGTTGTTTTCCAACCCATAAACCATGTGTTACCAGGCAGTTCGTTAGGATAGAGGGCGAGAGGGGGAGCGTAAGATATATTGAGACCATGAACACCTTTCTTGCAACCACCACTGCCCTAATGACTACTTCCTCTAATGCCACCATTCTGAGGCTGAGGCTGCAAGAAGCTCCTCTACCTCTTCTTCCACCTCCTCATAGCTGGTTTCAGGAAAATCAGAGCTGCTTTCATCATCTTCTCCTCCTCCTTCTTCTTGTGTGGAACCTGTAATCACCAAAGAAATGTACACCTCTTAGAGGAATGTTTTCCGAAATAAAGGTAATTATGATATGAGTGGTCTAATTTTGCTACAGACGGGAAGTGTCACACACCTGTCGTTCTTACAGAGTCCTCAAATAAGTGCTCATACAGAACTGCCCTCCTCTGAAGAGCATCACTTGAGCCAGCTCTCAGCATTAAATAATTAGGATTGGAAAGGAAGTACTCCTGAGCCCTGAAATGATATGCCGAGAAGTCACGATCAATGGAACTGTGATGGAAATTATAGTTTGGGTCATGACGTATTATTTGTTTGTTTTCTTCACTGTTTCCTCCAATAAGCTTTTCTCCTTCTCGCTCGTCATACACAAGGCTGATTCCAAGCTCCTTCATCAGAAAAGTATAACTCCACCCAACCACAGAGACACTAACTTCATCGCCAACTTCCAGATGATTCCCAAGCTTCCAATGGCTTAATGATCTCATATCTTCGTCTGGTCCCGGAATGCCAATGAACGTTGGGCTATAAACCAACTTCAAGCCCTTGGTCCTGTTATAAACTTTGACATAATATGCATACCAACTCCCAAATTTGCCCTCACCCCAATACCGATATCTTCTATTAGCAGAACGTGCATAAACAATGCAAATGTTCAAGCCCCGGACCCTCGTATTAGGATGCGAAGGCACATTGAAAGACATCGAACTTTCTGTACTTTTATCATTGAACCAACCTGGAACCTCACTCCCAGGAAGATAAGTGGTGAATATACCAATTTCGTATAGTCCCTGTGCCAATGTAAATCATAATGTAGAACTCTTATTACTTATGTGGGAGAGAGGGAGAGAGAGAGACAGAGAGAAAGTACCTGCACTGGACCTGTCTTTCTTGTTTCTGTCAGCTTATTGTACAATTCGACTTCAGTGTTTCCAATGGAGTCCAAGTTGAGGAAGCCTAAATTTTTGATAAATTCTGAATGAAAGTTTCCTAAGGGTTCTAACTTGAACAATCCCTGAACCTCAACTAGTTTTTTGCAGCCAAATATGTCCAAAAACAAGGATTTCAACAGGTTTGGTAGATTTGTTATTCTTTCCAATGATGTGCAATCTATAACCTTCAATTCAACTAAACTCAATGGAAGCTCTGGAAGTGATTGGAGGCTTGTGCATGAATCTAACCAAAGTTCCTTGAGCATAAGAAGATCTTTGATGCTCTCTGGTAGGCTACATATTGGGTTTTCACTTAAATTCAAGTATTGCAACAAGGACAGGCTACTAATATTAATTGGAATAGAATCATCTGATAAATTGCAGTTTGCAAGACTTAAGCTTACTAAGGATCGCGATAAAGAAGCCAATGAAAAATTGAAGGATTGTGGCCATTTTCTAGCTTTTGATACCCAATACCAGAAGTCTGCACACCATGATTTCACCTCACTGCTGGGAAAGACTAATTGACCTATAGCAATTCCATCTGCATGAAACATTGTCAAGGATTCCATCTCCACCAATTCCATAGGCAACTTGGTAAGCTTTGAGCAACCAGAAATATTGAGTTTTTCTAGGGATTTGAGTCTACCAATTTCTTTTGGAAGCTGCCGAAGATTTTTGCAACCTGTTAAATTCAAAGACACTAGTCTCTTTAGGTTCCCAACGGATTCATGAACATCAACCAATCTTATGCAATCTTTAAGAACCAATATATTGAGATTCGGGAGTCCTGAGAAGTCGGGGCTTCTGCTAAGACCATGGGAATGACTGAGATTAAGGATTTTTAATAATCCAAGAACCTGTAACAAAAAGAAAGAAAAACAAAGCACGTAGTTAATTCTCAAAAGAAAAATGCAATAACCCAAAACAAAATATACCAAATTCAAATTAACAATACCTTGGTTCCATTCCAAACTTGTCGTAGGCTGCTGTTACGCATGTCAAGAGCAACCAGGCTCTCCAGAGGAAAATCATTAGGTATAGACTTTAAAGGGAATCCACGCCAATACAGCAATCTTAATTTTTTTGGAAAATTCTCATAGCAGCCAGTAAGTTGTACATAACTCAACTGGACTATTCTTAATTTTGGCATCCCTGTAAATGCATCAGTTTCCAAATCTTCATCACTTGAAGATTTTGAATTTGCATTTATTGAGTGCTTGGAAAAGTTGAGGCGACGTCGCTTTTCTGAATAGCCTGGGTCTGCTAGCAGCAATTTATCAACAGTTTCTTCAGAGGATCGCCGTTTCGCAACTTTAACATTAAAAAGTGTTCCAGTATATCTAACTTCCTTTGACATTCGCACGTCAAGAGTAAGGCCTTTGATTGTTTCTGTACCCTGATACAAAAAATATTATGTAAATGACACATAAATATACATAGATACATACATATACAATTAAGATGCATAACTCTTACTGTCTTTTCTTTCAACAAATTGAAGGAATCTTTGTGATGCCAAACTCTACTACGTTTCCCAGGCTTTTGAGGTGACTCTTGACGAATAATTTCTCTTCCCATGTCTTGAAGCAATTGATGCATCCTAAGCTTGTTTTTATTGTCAATTGTTAAGAGACATCTGTCCATAAGATTTTGAATCCCAACAATTGGAAAGAAGTCACAATCTAGTATCATTACCACGTAATCTTTGTCCTTTCCAACAAAGAAACAAGCAATGTCAAGAAACACGTTCTTGTCATGATTATCTGGCAAGGAATCATAGCTTATTCTGAGTATTTTTAAGATTTGATGATCAGGGATTGCTTTCAATTTCATTAATGCACTTTCCCATATGACTAAATTTCTTCCGGATAGAGAAGAACCCAAAACTTGAAGAGCTAAAGGATTTCCTTGGCAATGGTACACAACATTTCTTGAGAGATCCGTGTAATCTTCACTAGGATGGTCTTGTCCAAAGCAATGCCAACTGAAAAGTTGGAGTGATTCCTTAGCATCTAATGCCTTAACCTTATCCATCCGAAATACCTCATGAGCCTTTAACAATTGCTCATGTCTAGTTGTTATAATGATTTTACTTCTGGGGTAAAACCACCCTCGCATACCAAGTACTGCATTTAATTGATCCAAATCATCCACATCATCAAGAACAAGGAGAATTCTTTTGCAAGATACAGCTTCTTTAATCTTCATAATACCTTCATCAATATTGTATATTTTTTTTATTTTCTTCTTCAAAATATCCGAAATAAGTTGTCTTTGTAAACGAATCAAACCATTCGGTTGTCCTGAAGCTTCTCTTATATTTGCAAGAAAGCTGCTGCCATCAAATTTGTCAAAATTTAGGTTGTAAACAGATTTGGCAATTGTACTCTTCCCTATTCCACCTATCCCATAAATTGCCAATATGCCAACATTGGTTGACCCATCTTGCAACCACAAATTAATACCTTCAACTCGAGAATCGATACCTATTGGATAGGGGGCAACTCTCAAAATAATGCGATTCAGCTTTCTCCCAACCACTTTAACAATTTCTCGAATAAATTTCGCCTCGAGCCTACAAAAATTATGATCAGGGTTGAAACAGAACATAGTAAGCATGGCTCTAATTGAAGTGAATCATGATTCCAGTTAAATTACGAGAATTATTAAACAAGTTGTGATGCTCAAGTTTTGCCAATTTCCATTAATACAAATAATGACATAAAATGTTACTTACTGGAAGAAAGTACCATGCATATGCAGTACTATGATGGATTATCAAAAACTTGCACTAAATAAACCGACATGTGTATGCACATTAGCACTAAACAATTTTCTAATGCGACCAACTATGTTAGATATCAAGAAGCTTTATTTGGCATGGGTGTCTATAGTAAGCATAAATATCCAATAGGAGAGGATTTTAAAGAGATTATACCCATCAGGTTGATTTTGCAAGACCATCCGATCTTCTAGATCGCTAACTTCACTAAGAGCAGCCTTCCACTCTTCCACCTTCTCCATCCATTCCTTCTTCCTCCGAAGATCTTTCTCGGCCTCAAATCCCTCCTCGTCTCGATCGAATGCTTCTGCAAAACTCCCGCTCTGTTTCTTGACTTCCGACGGATCCACATCGTAGAAGACAGGTAGAATCATATGCCCAAACACCCTCTTACACTGGAGAATCATCACAAGTTCATCAAGGCACCATCTTGAAGAAGAATAGTCTTTCGAGAAGACGATTATCGACATTCTTGATTCTTGAATGGATTTTTGTAAAACTGACTTGATATCTTCTCCTCTCTCCAGTTCGTCATCGTCTCTGAAAGTTCGAATTCCTGAACTTACCAGAGCTGTATAGAGGTGATCGGTAAAGGTCTTTCGGGTGTTTTTGCCTCTGAAACTCAAGAACACGTGATAAGTATAGCGGGAATTGGAAGAGGAGGGTTCTTCTTCTTCTTGGGTCGTCGCTGCAGCCATTGACGACAGTTCGTCAGCTTCAGAAGATGGAACAAAGGAAAATTAGTCGGAGGGCACAATGGGATACATCGTAAATATCAAAACATGGAACAAAGGAAAATTACACTTGACACTCCCTTGTGGAAGATAATTGTAAAGATCTATCTAATATTACACCCAAAAAATTGAATTTTTAATTTATAAAAATATAACAACGTTTAAGATTTATCTAATCTTTATCTATTTTGATCCAATAATATAAAATTCATCTCTAATTTTTTTTTTCACCCAAAAATATCAACTTTTCTACAATACCCCCAATGTCAAAAAACTCAACAACATATTCTTCAATGTCAAACAATCTCATCAATCCACACTTATCTCTATTTTCATTTTAATTTTAGATAACATAATTAAAAATTATTATTTAAAATAAAAATATTACAAGATTAGTTTGATTTTTAATATTATTTNCAATCCACACTTATCTCTATTTTCATTTTAATTTTAGATAACATAATTAAAAATTAAAATTATTATTTAAAATAAAAATATTACAAGATTAGTTTGATTTTTAATATTATTTTGTGTTTTCGGACAAAATTATTGCTAATGTATCTATATTTTATGAAATTCATTTTACCTTTTGATTTGGGTTTTGAATTTCATTATATTAGGAATGTCAATATATCATAGCTGGATCGAATTTTTATCTTATCTAATTTTTATTTCAATTTCAAGACTTCGATCTAAATGTCGTTTCATTATTCAATGAATTATATTTTCACAATTCTTATCCAAAGTTGGTAATAGTCGATATATGATCTCAACATTCGATTCAACCTAAACAATTTAATAAAAAATTAATTCTAACAATTACATCTAAATTTTAACCTCAATTTTATCAAGTAATCATTGTATTCCATCATATATTTATATATTTTATAAATTTCATATCAAATATTAATATATCCAGATCTAAATAGTGAAATACACCGTAAAAGATTTGAATGATCAATTAAAAATATTAATTTATACATGATCAATCAAATTTGGATAAAAAAAACTACCCATTACCAATGTTCTATTAGGTATCCAAGTCTTTTGCATTTCTAATACACTAAATAAGTTGTTGATGTTTAATTTTTGTTTTTATCATACAACACCTTAGATTTGACAAATGAAAAAATTGAAAAACAATGAGCTTTGTTTACTGCACCTCACATTCCTAAAAGAGCAATGTTATACAAATCTAATTGATTAATTTAATTTATTAATCTAATTACTCATAATTATTAGATTCACAATGGATCTCAATATTCTTTACGATCCTTAACTAATCTAATAGTTGTGATTTATTAGGTCAGTAAATTACTCAAAAATCATATTACTGTTCCTAAATTGGGGTGTAATGTAATTTCAGTAATCACGAGAATGATAGTGCTATTATTAGATATCACAAGGGACGATAGTGGATTTTTTTTCAGTAATAAATGTAATTAAGAATTGATTCGATCACAACAATGATGTCCAACGTTAATGGGAAATATTCCCGTAACAGCGTGGTTCATGGCTTTTACATGGTGCGGGGTGAATCTGGACACATGGCCACGTGTCAATTGGGCCTCTAAACCGATTTCTTCAAAAGTTTATTTTTTTTTAAAGCCACTTACAATTGGGTAATTCAAGATCCCAATAAAAAATATACGCCGCTTAAGTCAATTTGACACCTAAAGTAAAAATATTAAATGTATGTCTTTTTATTTTTTTAAAAAAATTAATTTATATTTAATTTTCTATGTTAGAGGTACTACACAAAAGACAGATGTGTTAATACTGTCGAAAAAGAGATTTCAACTTTTATTTTTGTTTTTTATCATAAAAAGGGAGGAAGAGTATTTAATTTCAACTTTTATTATTATTTTTTTTACCGGAGAGAGAGAGAGAGATAAATATGAGTTGATTTTTATGTTTTTTTTTAATTTCTAAGTTTTTAATGTTATGGATTAGATTATAGGCCAAATTATTGCAATAAAAATTTTGATTAGATTTAATTTTTTGTACTTTTTGTAGGGCTTAAAATTTAATGGATTTAATTTTTTTTTATAGACTAGTGATGTATCTAAAATTATGGGATTTTCTAAAAATTTGAGGCCTAAAATCTATACTTTTTTTTTTATACTGTTGAGCTGGCCCTGATAAAGAAATATTCAAGACATCAACAATAATGTCAAAAAAAAATGTCAGTAATAATAAAAAATTCTTAAAAATAATAATAATTGTACCCTAAGAATAATCAAAAAGCAAGCCAATTAGGTCTCGGACAAACAAGAGAAAAAGAAAAAAAAAAAAAAAAACATGTTAGTCAAAAGTCATCTTTTTTATGTTGTTTTGCCCGGACAACATCAAATAACTCCCTTGATTTGGCCCCCGACTTTTTCATCTGCTTTTAATAATGACTCTTGATTTGAAAGTTTTTTTTAAGTTGTTTTTATCAAATTTATGAGAGGTTTTTCGTGAGTTCTACTTAATTTTTTAATTTATTATATTCATAAAATATTATTAGTTACATAAAAAAATTTAAAATTCATATTTTATGAGCTATTAAGCACAATCTATATATACACATGATTATTTTTTTATTTAAAAAAAAAAGCCAAAAAAGTTAAAAAATCCTTTCAAGCGAGCTTTTCGGATTTTTTCAATTTTATTAGCTTTTTTTTTAAAACACTCTCAAGGATTCCAAGAGCTTTTTAAAAGCGGACTTTTCACTACATTTTCAAATTTTTATTTCTCACCTAAAAAAGTTAGCTCCAAACAGACTAAATTATAAGTACAACTTTCCTCAACCTCGTAGCTCCTACATAGATTTTGTTCCTAGTGTTTTAAAGGCAAAACTTTTTTTTTTTCATTTCACGTTTTATAACTATGGTTTTTCTATAATCTTATGGAATGGTAAGAGTATAAACAAAAAGAACATGTATTTTATTAAAAAAAAATTGATAAAATGATCCCAATGTATACACAAATGTAAGCCAATATTCACACACAATGCATAGAGTCAAGCACAGAAGTCATCTACAGGCTCCAGTTAGTAGGCATTCATTGCAAATGCATCCGTTTTCGGGTCTAACTCTTCTTTCCAGGAAACAATTTTGCAAAGCCACTGGTTATTGCAAGCCAGGAGAAGATGCTATTAAGGGGCCTTTTTAACGGCTTGCCCTGGTATGACACCATGGATTCGTCCGATGAATCTCCTGAATGCTGTCGTTTTGCTCTACCAACACGCGATGCTTTGCAGACAGACTTGTCTTTCTCCAACATACGTGTACTTGGAACCAGTCCATCAACTATTTCTGTACCCTGATAATACAAGACATTTGTTGTATAATTAGTATGAAGCGTGCAAGCACAAAGCATAAACATACAAATGAGAATCAGGATTCTTACAGTTTTCTCTGCTGACACAGTAGAAGAATTCTTATGATTCCATGCTCCCCCATGTTTCCCAGGCTCTTCGGATGACTCTCGACGTGCAATTGTCCTTGCCATTTCTTGAAGCAGTTGATGCATCATCAGCTTATTGTCATCATCAACTGTTATGAGACTTCTATCCCTCAGGTTTTGAATACCAATTGCAGTGTAGTCTTCTTCTAGGATTTTGACCACATCATCTACATCCGCTCCAACAAAGGAAGATGCAACATGAAGGAATAAATTCTTGTCATGATCATCAGGTAAAGACTTGTAGCTTATCTCAAGTGTTTTCTGAATCTTATCATGGAGAGTTGCTTCCAACTTCTCCAATGCACTTCTCCATACCTCCACACTTCTGCTACATAGAGAAGAACCCATAACTTCAAGAGCTAAAGGCAGGCCTGCACAGTGGCGTATTACACGTTTTGAGTGATCCATGTGATCTTCTGAAGGATGGTCTTGTCCAAAGGCATGCCAACTGAAGAGCTGGAGTGACTCATCATCATCCAATTCCTTTATTTTGTACTTCTGATGCACTACATGAGCCTTTAACAATTGCTCCCGCCTGGTTGTAATTATAATTTTACTCCCTGAGTAAAACCAATCCCATTTTCCAATTAATGCATTTAGCTGTTCCTCTTCATCCACGTCATCCAATACAAGAAGAATTTTTTTACAGCTTATCGCATCTTTAATTATCATGACGACTTCATCAATGTTATATTTCTTTTCCCTCTTACCAATTGAAATATCAGAAAGTAGTTGTCTTTGTAAATGAACCAGACCATTGGGTTGTTGTGAAATTTCTCTAATGTTTGCAAGGAAGCAACTATATTTGAACCGTTCATAGTTTAAGTTATAAGCAACTTTCGCAGTGGTCGTCTTTCCTATTCCGCCCATTCCACTTATCACCCCAATGCCAACATCTGTAGACCCATCCTGTAACCACGAATTAATGTTTTGGACTCGAGATTCTGTTCCAATTGGGTATAGAGCAACACTTAAGAGTGTGCGCTTCAGTTTATTTTCTGTCTCCTCAATTATCTCCTCAATGAACTTCGCCTCGTGACTACAAGTTGTGGTTGAAATAGAAAAAAACTCAGTGACCATTGCAGTGGTTCACAATGAATTATTTGTTCTATGAATTCAAATATGTCACATAACATTTTAGTTTTTCCATCTGCCACTCAATAAATTCATCATGGCGTGTGAACTGATGTAGGTGAAAAGAAAGTAGAGCAATTACGTTAGTAACAAAGCCAAGCAAGGACCTCCTGGCACATTCATTTTATAAACAGCAGATATTGAAATGTAAGAATTATAGTGACGTACAATGCAGAGCAACAAGACATAATTGGAAAGCTTCTTCCGCATTTATAGGAACAATAACTGAAGAGGAGAGAAATCCAGGTACTACTTTAATTCTTTTAGGTGTGCAACCATGGTTCTTGAGAACAAAACACATTTTATTTTCAACCCAAAAAGAATGTGAAAAGTATGTATATTCCATTACCAATTAATAAAGAGGCTAATCCTTTTTGTTTTGTTAGTAGCTAAAGTAAAGTTTTTGAATGTAGTAATGAACTGTAGTTGAGTCCTCTTAGGATTCCACTGTACAGCTTAAAAAAATTAAGATTGAACTCCACACTTACTAAATGTATACATACTCTACTCAACACAACATAACGTTCTTCCAAATATTTTGGGGTCAGATACATGAATCGTATTCCTAAATCATATTTTATCAAGGGCCATTTTTTCTGTTAAATTGCAAACTGTTTTATCTTTTTTTACTATCTCATTCAAAGTTTATTTTGATCTACCTCTACCCTGAACATCGACACTCATCAGCATCACATCATTATTCCTGACTGCTGTAACTATAAGTCCTCAAATATATATATCCAAACCAACTATGTTGATCTCCCTTAATTTATCTATTGTTGGTGCTACGTCTACCATTTCACAAGCATATTCATTCTTAATTATATCCTCTTGTTTTTACTATACACCTATATTAACATGCACACTTAGTTTTTGAATGTTCAACATTCGGTACCATAAAGCATCAATCAAGTGGTTAAGACATCTAGATTATAATTTATAAGATATTGGGACCGACTCATTTAAGACCATTATAACTCAAGCTTCAAAATATCAATAGCAAAAGGTATGAATTTATATATAATAAGATAATTGGTACATATGCCAGAAGAAATTTCTGAAGTTTACAGCTGTCCATTTTAATCACGTCTAAAAGGTTTTAGTTTTACACATTCTAGTGTATTTAAATTCCCAAAAACGTCCTAAAAATACCAAAAGTGTTTTCCCTGTAATGTATCTAGATGAATTTCAAAGTTCATTTTTATGTTGTTTTGTAACCTATCTACTGTTTCTGCTCTAAATAAAGATATCTGTATTGTAATCCATCTCTGATCTCTGATTTCTTTAATATTCTCAGTCAAATTTTTACCATGTTTGAATAGAGAACTTCTCATAAAGCAGCACTACATAGGCTCATTAAGCAACTTTTCGTAGAATCTGATTTTGATAATGTAAGCAGCAGATTATGTCGATTCACCATCTCCCTTTGGCCATTGCGTAAAACCAGAGTTCCACTCTCTACTTGTCTTCATAAACTCTGCCCCTTTATAGAAACTTTTTGTTCATTACACTATTCATGTTATATGACCTATAAATTGTTTTTCTTTGAAAAATAATAATGGATTTTCAAAATAAACATTATTTATTATAGAATTAGGGTTCTAATTTCACAAAACAGGGCTTAGGTTTTTGAAATAGGGAGAAGTTTTGCACTCATTCCGGGAGCCATATCTGAGGGTTGTTAGATAAGCATCAAACAAAAGTCGTAGTAGATGCATAGTGAAGCCAATGAGATTTTAAACCAAATGAGTGAATAGATTACCCGTTTGCTTGATTTTCTAAGACCATCCCACTCAAATTCGCAACTTCTCTAAGAGCAGCCCTCCACCCCTCCACCTTTTCCATCTGTGCCTTTCTTCTTTCGTCTGTCTCCTGTGTGAGTTGTTCTTCATGACTATCAAATGCTTTCGCAAAGCTCCCTGTTTGGTCCCTCACTTGGGATGGTTTAACATTGTAGAAGACAGGCAAAACTTTATGTCCAGCAGTGTTCTTGCGTCGGAGAATTATCACAAGTTCATCAAGGCACCATGACGAAGAAGCATAGTTGATTGAGAAGACAATTATTGAAATCCTCGATTCTTGAATTGCTTTTTGTAGTTCCAACTCGATATCCTCTCCTCTCTCAAGTTCATCATCATCTCTGAATGTGTGAATTCCTGCATTCCACAAAGCTGTGTACAGGTGATCAGTAAAGGTCTTGCGGGTGTCTTTGCCCCTGAAACTCAAGAATGCATGGTAAGTACACCTAGATGTGGAAGAGGAGGCTTCTTCTGTTCTGACAACAGCCATTGAACAAAGCTTCAGATCATAGATGGCTGAAAATTGAAAACAGGTAAACGTCAAACACAGAAGGAAAGCTATGAAGGAATGAAAAATAAGGATTACACAGTCTAAGTCAATGAATTCCAATATTAACAACAAAAGCCAATAAGGGAAACACTTCTGTAACATTTTGTTCTATGGAAAGCAAGTTGACACGCAACTAATCAGAAATTATGAAAAAAAAAACTGGGAACCATGCCAAGAGCTAAACTTAATTCCAACAGACTACTGTAGGTAAGAGACAACTTTTTGAATTGGCTAGAATCTTTCAAGGGTACCTTAAGGAGTTAAATTCATTTCGCTTTCACCAAAACCGCTTCGGTTCCCAAGGAAAGCAAAACGAATTGAATATCAAAATTTCTATATTTCGAGGTATTTTGGAATGTTTTTCAATCTATATTTCGAACTGTTTCCATCTCTGTTTCTATCAAATCCCGAAACATTTTCTGTTCTAAGATGAACGAGACTATGCACCGAAATGATATTTTAATCCTCGGCTTACAACAAGATATCTGGGTTTGTTTACCGTATGAAACCTATGCATCTTTGGACAATTGATGTGGCTGATGTTGGCAAAAGCTGGCCTGAACCCACAACCAACATAACATTGCTTAACATCTGTAATCGCGATAGTAAAGATGAATGGCCATAAGTTCATCTGATCAATCTCTTAATGTGTTGTAAAGACATTGATATATACACTTGTTTACATAAGTGGGTGTTCATGTTTGCTCAAAGCTTGTCCTTCCATATCAAATTACAGCAGGCCAGCTGAGAACATAAGAATGAAAACAAGAACTAGAAGAAGCAATTTAAGAATCAAGCTGATTTCAGTCTGTTTTAATTGCACATAACTCCAATTGAGAAGCCTCAGCCTAAGCAGGCGCAAAGGCATTGAATTAAGAACCCAAAAGAATTGAGAACCTGTCTGCAAAGTGTTTAAAACCAACTCACCTTCTGGTCAATTTTGGCAAAGGTTTCGATATGTGAACGACAGAGAAGAGACTCTCGGAAGTCGGAAGAGAGCTTCTTACACACCAAACCCCATAAGATGCCAGTTTTCCGCTCCAATCAAACCACTGATCACTCCATCAAAAACTCACCATCGGGGGGAGAGAGAGAGAGAGAGAGACGTGTAGCGTCGTCTCATTGTCTGAAAACGTTGAAAAGTGTAAAAAGCGAGTTACGCGTAGATGCCAGCCGCAGCAGCAGCAGCAGCAAAATATTGAGGTAAAAACCTTAAATATTTAAGTGTTAATTACACTGAAGACCCCCAAAGTATAAAATTTATCTTATTTTAGTCTTCAATATTTTAATTGTATCATTTTAGTTTTGAAAATATTTAATATATTTCTATGTGGTTCCTCAAATAGACAACATTCAAATTGCTAATAATTTTTTATCTTAAATAAATCGTGCGCGATATCTAAATATGGGCAAAAAATAATTTAAGTAATTTTTTTCTCTATTTTTTAAATTCTTAGAATTTTAATTTTTTTTAAAAATCTATCTTTCTTTCAATCATAACCTTGGGAATATATAACCACTTCTTCATTACTCTCACCAACTATCCTGTAATTCTTTAACTTCTCACTCCTTTTCAACTTATCTTTTAATATCTTAATTTTTTTCTCTTCTCTTTAAAATAAAGAAAAAGGATGAGGATAAAAGTATAATTTTCGTGTATCACATGGGTTCGGCAATGGTAAAAATAAATAAATTTAAACACCCCAATGACAGGTTACAGATGACTTAGCAACGCGTAGCCCTTTAATTTATTCTCCCTAACCATGGTCTCTGGTCCACAATAGGGAAGTGCACTTCTCGGAAATTATTGTCTCATTTCCTCACAAATTCTGGTGGAAGAAAGTAATACAAGGAAATTACTGCCTCATTTCTTCCGCCAGAATTTGCATGGAAATAAAGGATGCTTACACTTCAAATTTATACTTGTCCCATTGAGTTACTTTGATGACCATGGAAGAGGTCAAGTCATAACAAAGAAATTTTAATGAATAATGTTAGACTAACCAAAAAAAAAAAGTTAGACTAGCCACCTTTATTCTTTAAGAAACATATTTTTAAACTTGTTCCAACTACGGTACCTAGTATCCAAGCTCGAGAAAATAATCAACGTAAACTTAGACACTCATACAAAGTGAAAGACCATGGTTCTGCACCATAGAGTGATCTGTATGCAATCACTTCTTTTGATTGTTTTTGAAGAATACGTTTAGAAAGCAATAACACATGAATAAATGGAGACTCAAGAATGAAACAGAGCAAGAAAAAGTGGCACAGCTCCACTCCAAAGTAGAAATCCATTTTTCATCTTCTAATAGGAAGATTGACTTGAGAAATCAAGTACAAAATTGGTGAACTATTTCAGAAGAAAGAGATGTACACAAAGGACTGACAATTTGCTCTTGAGCTGAGTTGGCCTGCTGATATGAAAATAAAGTTAGATGCATCCAAGAATAGTCTTTTCAAGTAAGCCAACCAATAAAGTTAGATGCTCTCCCTTAAGTCTTTAACCTCATTCAACATCATTTTCTTTAAAACACATTATATCAATTCAAAATGATTAATGCCAAGCTTGAGCTTCTTACATTCAGTGTATCGACATAATGGTCTTGATGCTATCGATCATTTCTATAGTTTCATTAAAAAAAATGCACCGAGATCCAAATGGGAATTTGTGTAGCTTGTGGTTTCAAACACACCAACCAAAGACATTAGCCCAAGGCGGAAGGAAGGGAGGGAGGGAGGTGGAATGACAGATGCAATAGCTTGATGAATGGCAGGAAACGATAGTAGCAACAGAAACAAGAAAGTTCATCAAAACACTATTCAAGAGTCTGATACACATAGCAGATTTCAAGTAACCAAGGGAAACAAGTCCATGTCAACCGAATGTTTATTGAACACAAACAGAAACATAGAAGACTGATATACATGATCAAGCTTCTTCATTACATCAAGCATTCACCTGCAGAAGCAGAAACGCATACGAAATCAGTTTGTGGGAAAAAATGTAGTTATGTGGAATGAAACATAATAAAAAGAGAAAAGTCTCTAATGGTCCTTTTGGTAGGTGGATAGAAAAATAGAAGGATGAAAAGTGAGAATAATACACTTTCCATCCTTTAAAGAGAAATCTTTCATTCCCTCCTTTGTGTTTGATAAGAGGGATGAAAAGTAAGAATGATTAACTTTTTTTGTGTTTGATACGATGAAAAAAAATATTTTTTATTTTTTAATTTTTTACTAAAAAAATATAAATACATATTTTACTATTATATTTATATATGAAATTAATGTATACATAATATATAATGGATAAATATGATATATATATATATATATCAAATGATATATAGATAAATAATATACACTTTAACACACATAACTAACTTTCCATCCACTTTCCTCCCAATTTAGAGGGATTGATTTCGGTGAACTTGAAAGAAAGTTAATCCATATACATTACAATCATTCCTATTTTCCTTCCTTACCAAAGACATTGTTTATCTATCTCCCAAATAAATCATCCTTTCAACTTTTCACACTTCCATTTTTCCATCAAATCAAACGAAACATAAATCAGCAGACACACATTAATTGGGATAACCTCCCTAATCTCGGAAAACAGCCCCTGAACTGTGGTCATTCTTGCCTTCTTCAAACCCCAAACCCTAACCCCATGCTATGCTAGTGTTATTTAAGGCATAAAGTGTACCGAAACGAATCGTTCTCCAAAGGCCTATGTGAGATGCGAGAGGCGAAGCGAGGCAAACAAAATAACAAACAAGCAAATAATTTAATTTCATCCATAGCATCAAACAAACACTAATATCATCACACAGAATAATAAACCAGTAATCAATAATCCAACTATCCAATGATTCCAGAATATATGAAATAGCAAAATATAAACACAGCAGAACAAATCACAAAAAAACAAAAACAAAGTTCCAACATATGAGCAGAAGTAGCAAAAACCATCACAGAAAACAGAAACAGGATTCCAGCAGAAGCTGAAAACCATTACAGATTCACAGCAAATAAAAAAAAACCAAAAGTAGCAAAACAATCACAGCAAAAAAAAAAAAAAAGGATACAAGGTTCCACCAGAAGCTGCATCACAGCTAAAAAAAAAAAGAAGAAGAAACAGAATTCCAGTAGAAGAAGAACCAGAAAAATCAGAAGAAGAAGAAGAAGAACCAGAAGAATAAGAAGAAGAGGGGAAGAAGTAGAAGAGGAGGGGAAGAAGAACCAGAAAATAAAAAGAAGACGAATCAGAAAAATCAAAATCTTAATCAGAAAATAAGAAGAAGAAGAAGAAGAAGAAGAGAAAACACCTTCAGAGCAGATCTGGTGAGATTCCCAATCTCATGCAATCAGAAGCAGTGTGAAGCTGGCAGGAGTAGTCTGATGTGGGAGCAGAAAATTAAAATGCTTCAGTCAGGCGGTCACCTGGGTAGCTTCATCGCCTGGAGTCGCTTTTTCCTCGCTTCTTTGACATTCACATCGCCTTGACTGTTTAGATTGCCTCGCCTTGCTTCTCACCTAGGCGAGTGCCTAGGCCCGCTTTTCAAAACACTATGCTACACCTTTTGGTAACTTTTAAGCTCAATACACCAATCAACCACCCTTTCGCCACAAACACAGGCCATAATCACAACCTAGAAGATATTCTCTCCACCACCCAATATGATATCTAGCATTATCCTTTATTAGGAGGGCATTTTCCATACCTGGCCTAAATCACATTCTATCAGCTAATAAGTAGGTGACAAGCTAAGTAGTTTCTCAAGTCACAAGTAACTTCCAGAGATATGAATCGGAAGAAGCTTCCAAGCCATTTACAAGCAGCCATCTATTAATGTAGATTACCTTGGAGCTAAGAAAACCAAATAACAATATCAAAACTGATTTTAAAAAAAAACTCACAAGACACATGCTAATCTATATTTAAAAACAACTGCAAGTCAAAAAACTTCAAGAAATCCAACTTCTTATCCTTGTTCTTCTCTAAACCTTGTCTTCCATTTGTTGCACCCAAATGTTGTTCTCTGATTTTTATCCCACCAAAATATGACCAATGTGATTCAATCCCCACCATTTCATCCGTAAAAAATATAACTGGCGACACATAATCCCAATCAGGAATTATATATATATATATGAGGCCCTATCAATTACAACTATTAAGTTTCCGTCAATTTCAACATAGAAGAATTCCTATCACCAATTTCCTAATTATATCCTTTTAAAAAGGAATGTAATTCCAAACCTTCTGGAGCCCCCATCAAAACTGCTTGTAACATTATCACTACAGTCTACAGATTTCGCAACTGCAATGAATTTGACAAGAGATGATTATTCATTACACAAACTAGAGTACGAATTGTTCGGGCACATTTGTACACACAGAAACCAAAAATTTCAAACAAAAGCACCACATATATCCACCATGCCCAACACATTATTGACCAGCGAAATACTCTAATATAAGCACATCATCAAAGTCCATAGATCCATTTCTATGGGATAGATTAAAAACAAAACCCTAATTTCCTAGAGAAATGGGGCAACAACATGCGTCCCTGTAATTTCATAGATACACGAGAGAAATCTGACCTGACAAACGTCGATGGACATTCTCAGTGAGAGTGAGAAGCAGAAGAAGACGAAGAGTGGTGAGAGTGAGAAGGAGCGTAGATCTTGTTGTAGGCGGCTTCGCCGACGAGGTAGATACCGAAGGCGACGACGGCGATGCCGAGGCCAGGCGTGGCGTGGCGGAGCTGGTTAGTGAGCATCGGGTGCTTCCGCCACTCGTCCCTCCTCCTGAAGAACTCCCCTGTTGGTCCCAGTGACTTTGCCATGGTCTCTCTCTCGCTCTTCCTATTCCTCGACTGGTCTTGGACGAGACGATCGAGTTTGTTCGATGAACTCTTGGTTGTTTTCTTCGAGCTGTTTGGACGAATGACATTTTGTACCTCTTTAGATTTTAACTTTTTTAATTTGTACCCTAAAAATTAATTTTTTTAAATTGTGCCCTTCATATTATAAAATAATTACAATATGACCCCCACATTAACTTCTGTTACATTATCTGTCAAATTACGTGTGTCAAGTGCAATTCTCTCCATTGGTTTTTATATACTTTGTGCCTTTGAGCGTAGGGTAGAGTGTCTTTGCCAACTCTCACTCATTTTTTATGAAATTTCGGCCGGCCCACTATTCTTGTAAACAAAAATTTTGAGAAAGGTTACAAGTGTTGTAAATACTATTAAATTGAATCACTACTTTATATAAATAATAATAAATAATATTTGGACATGACTATACAATACACAAATAATTATCACATTTAATAGTTAGACAATTGAATTTCCAACTCTCATCCATCATCTTCTTTGCTTATAAAATGGCACTCATTATCAGGGGCAAAGCCAGGATTTTGTATCAATGGGGGCAACTTATTCATAGCTGATTAAAAATTAAATTTGTCTAATTAGATTTAAATTTAAGAGTTCGTCATTAAATTCGTAACAAAATGAGATAATGAACTACACATAATCAAAATATAAACCATAAATCCAAAATATAATCCTAATTTTAAGAAATTAATTAAAGCAATTTAATCATAGGGAAGAAAAATAGCATTAACCAAGAATCTCAGATAGCCAATCTGAACATGGACTTTAACAAAAATTCAAAATAATTGAGTGGTGACCCAAGATGAAACAAAAAAAAACCTACATAAGTCCATGAATAATACACCAAACAACTATCAATTCTACAAGAATNGAAGAAGACGAAGAGTGGTGAGAGTGAGAAGGAGCGTAGATCTTGTTGTAGGCGGCTTCGCCGACGAGGTAGATACCGAAGGCGACGACGGCGATGCCGAGGCCAGGCGTGGCGTGGCGGAGCTGGTTAGTGAGCATCGGGTGCTTCCGCCACTCGTCCCTCCTCCTGAAGAACTCCCCTGTTGGTCCCAGTGACTTTGCCATGGTCTCTCTCTCGCTCTTCCTATTCCTCGACTGGTCTTGGACGAGACGATCGAGTTTGTTCGATGAACTCTTGGTTGTTTTCTTCGAGCTGTTTGGACGAATGACATTTTGTACCTCTTTAGATTTTAACTTTTTTAATTTGTACCCTAAAAATTAATTTTTTTAAATTGTGCCCTTCATATTATAAAATAATTACAATATGACCCCCACATTAACTTCTGTTACATTATCTGTCAAATTACGTGTGTCAAGTGCAATTCTCTCCATTGGTTTTTATATACTTTGTGCCTTTGAGCGTAGGGTAGAGTGTCTTTGCCAACTCTCACTCATTTTTTATGAAATTTCGGCCGGCCCACTATTCTTGTAAACAAAAATTTTGAGAAAGGTTACAAGTGTTGTAAATACTATTAAATTGAATCACTACTTTATATAAATAATAATAAATAATATTTGGACATGACTATACAATACACAAATAATTATCACATTTAATAGTTAGACAATTGAATTTCCAACTCTCATCCATCATCTTCTTTGCTTATAAAATGGCACTCATTATCAGGGGCAAAGCCAGGATTTTGTATCAATGGGGGCAACTTATTCATAGCTGATTAAAAATTAAATTTGTCTAATTAGATTTAAATTTAAGAGTTCGTCATTAAATTCGTAACAAAATGAGATAATGAACTACACATAATCAAAATATAAACCATAAATCCAAAATATAATCCTAATTTTAAGAAATTAATTAAAGCAATTTAATCATAGGGAAGAAAAATAGCATTAACCAAGAATCTCAGATAGCCAATCTGAACATGGACTTTAACAAAAATTCAAAATAATTGAGTGGTGACCCAAGATGAAACAAAAAAAAACCTACATAAGTCCATGAATAATACACCAAACAACTATCAATTCTACAAGAATTAAACTAATTTTCTAATATAAAAAATCTGATTTTAGATTAGTGCTAATACTACTATTAAAAAATTTGATTAATAGATTACCTCTTTTTAGTTTCAACATAATCTTTTAAGATTTCTTTAAATTTGATTTGCACAATGATTGAATCCAATAGAGTGATTTGTTAATGAATACACCAAAGGAACTAATAAAGAAACTAAATAAAAGAAAGAAGATGGGTTGTTGGTTGGACGCTTGGACTGCACTGGAAGTCTGGACGAAGAAGACGAAGGCTAACCAAAAAAAAAAAAAAAGCAGACGTTAAAAGTAGCTGCCAAAAATTAGTTTTTAAGGATTTAAAATTATATTAATATATACTATAATTTAAGAAACTTAGTTTTTAAGGATTTAAAATTATATTAATATATACTATAATTTAAGAAACTTTTAGTGAGGTAAGTTTTAGAAGTTCTTGAAATTTTTAAATTACACTTAGGTCTCAAAATTTTTAAAATTTTAGTGGGAGCAACTGTCAGGTGTGAAAAATGTGGAGGAGGTGCCAAAAGTTAGCTTTTAAGGTTGAAAATTATATTAATATACCTTATACTTTAAGAAATTTTCAGTGAAGGTAAGTTTAAGAAATTCTTGAAATTTTTAGAATTACACCTAAGTCTCAAAATTTTTTAAAATTTCAGTGGGGCCAACTGCCCCCATACTAAATCAACCACTGCTCATTATGTTCAATGAAATATACAGAACAATATAGAAAGAAGAGAGTTCAATATCAACCCGAGAATCAGCTAATTGAATCATTGTCAAGTAATTTTTCTACACTCAGAAAACTTTGTGGTATGGCAAATCTTACAAAACTGGAGTTTTCTACTCTTGAAATTTTTGCCTACAATTATCTTTCATGGGCACTTGATGTCGAATTTTATTTTGATTCTAAAAATCTTAGAAATACTATTAAAATAAAAAATACTGCAACTCAAAAAAATTGCGTGAAAGCACTAATGTTTCTCCGTAATCATGTTCAACAGGGGTTGAAAAATGAATACCGGGATATGAAAGATCCTTTAGTCCTCTAGCAAAATCTAAATGATAGATTTGACCACAAAAAAACTACCATTCTTCCAAAGGCTAAGAATGATTAGTTCAACCTATGGTTTCAGGGCTATAAATCTGTACGAGAATATAATTTGGCAATGAATAGAATCATGTATAAACTGGAGCTGTGTGAACATCCTGTGTCTGATGCTGAAAAATTGGAGAAAACATACTCTACTTTTCATGCATCAAATATTTTACTATAACAACAATATCGACAACATGGGTTTGAGGCATATAATGAACTCATATCGTGTCTCTTACTTGCCGAGGAGAATAACGAACTACTAATGAAGAATCATGAAACTCATCTATTTAGTCACCAAGCCTTTCCAGAAATAAATGTCACGTCTTTTCATGGTCAAGGATGAGTGTGTGGTTATAATCGTGGCAAAAATAAAAACAATCATTTTCGCAAAGGTTACCATGGAGGTCCAAAGTCCTTCACACAAAATCAAAAATGGTGAAATATCCTATATTACCATAAGTGGAACAACCATCCATACCACCAGAAGTGGAATAACCAAAACCAAAAAAAAAAGAAAGAGAAGAGTTTATCAAATAAACTCTCTAAGAAGATTGAAGATAGTTGTTACAGATATGGAATAAAATGACACTAGTTGCGTACTTGTCGTATGTCGAAACATTTGGTAGATTTCTATCAAAAATCCATCGAATGAAAAGAAAAATTGATAGAGACAAATTTTGGTGAGGGGATCAGGCGTCACCCTCATTGATTATCCATCCAATTTTGCTAATCTAGATGTCTCTAATTTCTGTGTGAACTCAAACAAAAATGAAATGGAGAATATAGATTAAGAATTTTATCTTATATTTTTTACAAATAATTTGAGTGTATGTCTGTAAGTGTTATCTTTGTGTGTTATTTGAAAAATATTCATGTCGATGTATTTATTTATTAATAAAATCTTGTGTATTTTTCATATAGAGACATGGATCCTGGTAATTCTATGGCTCCAAGGTGAAAGATGGAGATATATGTTTGACAGATAATGCTACAACTCGCATAATCTTTTTTCATAATAAAAAGTATTTCTCTGAAATAACATTATCTAAAGCTAGTTTTAATACAATATTAGGTCATATAAACTTGATTGAAGTCTCTGGTAGAACAAATATGATACTACCCCAAAGAACTAAATTCTTTATTAAAAAAATATTATATTCTAATAGATCTAACAGAAATTTACTGAGTTTTAAAGACATACGTCGTAATGGATATCATATTGAAATGACAAATGAGGGTAACATAGAATATTTATACATTATATCTATTGTATCATGCCAGAAGCATGTACTAGAAAAACTTCATACTCTCTCTTTTAGATTGTACTATACTAGAATAAAATTTATAGAATCAAATATTGTGATGCATTAGAAGTGATCTGATCCAAAGAATTTTATGTTTTGATATGACGCCTTGGTCATCTGGATCAATAGTGATGCGTAGGATCACTGAGAATTCGACATTCTCTAAAAAATCAAAAGATTTTTTTACCAAGTGATTATTCATGTTCTACTTGTTTACAAGTGAAATTAATTGTCAAACCATCTCTTTTAAAGTTGATTTCTAAATCTCCTAATTTTCTACAACAAATTCATGAATGTATATGGGCTCCAATACACCATTCGAGTGGGTCATTTCATTATTTCATGGTTTTAGTTGATGCAACAATAAGATGGTCACGTGTGTGCCTACTTGCTACTCAAAATGTCATCTTTGAAAGGTTTCCTGCTCAAATTTAAGTCACAAAAACCTTCAATAACTACCGTTTGTTAGTAGGAATGGATATTGAGCATTTAGTTGTACACAACTGAGTATTTTATTAAACATATTCAATTGACAGCTTGACCCACTCTTATGAAAATGAAATTACCTGCTTTTACTTGGGGATATGTTGTATTGCATACTGTATCTTTAATTCGTGTTTGACCAACTGTATATCATACATATTCACCAGCCAACTTGTTTTTGGTCAACAACCAAATATTTCTCACTTAACGGATTTTTGGTTGTACTGTATATGTTCCAATTCCACCACCACAACGGACCAAGATGGATACACATCGTTGACTTGGTATTTATGTTGGATTTGACTTTCCTTCAATAATTAGATACCTTCAACATTTAATTGGTGATATATTTAAAGCATAGTTTGCATATTGTTATTTCGATGAGTTAGTTTTTCCACCATCAAGGGAGACAATAAAAAGTCTAAAGAACAGCGTGATTTCACTTGGAGCGTTCCAGTGTTATCTCATTTTGATCCATAAACAAATCACTGTCAATTGGAAGTTCAAAAGATCATTCATTTGTAAAGTATTTTGAATAACTTATTTGATGCATTCACTGACACAAATAAAGTAATTAAGTCTCATGTGCCAACTACAAATGCACCAACAAGAATTGATGTCCCTGTAGGACAATCTGGTTGCACAGTTGCAAATTAGTCTAAGATACGCCTGAAGCATGGTAGACCTGTCAATGCAAAAGGTATTGTCCTTAGGAAAAAAAGAGGACAAGAGAGAGTAAATAAAGAAATTAATGCTTCACAAGAGAATAACAAACCAGAAGTTTGCATCCCTGAATATAGTCATAGCACAAAACAATTGCCTCTTATAGAAGCTCAGTTAAATCCTAAAAAGTCTTAAATACCTCCAAAAGAGACTCATGTACTTGAGAATGATGAGATCTCTATAAACTATATGCATAACAAAAAAAGGTAGAGTCGAAATAAAATTATTGTGGATGACATATTTTCATTTGCTGTTGCTCTTGATATTTTAAGAAATGATGAGGAGTCTGAACCAAAAACTGTCGATGAATGTTGACAGAGAAATTATTGGCCAAAATGGAAAGAAATAATTCAGCCAGAATTAAGCTCACTAACCAAACATTTGGAACTATAGTCCAAACTCCACAAAGGTGTTGAACCCATTGGATGTAAATAGGTGTTTGAAAGAAAACAAAATGAGAAAAATGAAATTGTACAATATAAGGCACGACTTGAGGTACAAGGTATCTCACAGAGACCTGGTATTAATTGTGAGGAGACGTATTCTCCCGTAATGGATATTGACACTTTTAGATTTTTGACAAATCTTGTAGTCTCTAAAAGATCGGATATGCATTTGATGGATGTTGTTATTGCGTAGTTATATGACTCATTAGACAATGAGACATATCTTAGTGCAATTGGTGCACTAATGTATTTAACAAATTGTACGACGCCAGACATATCACTTTGTAGTTAACCTACTAACAAGATATAGTTCAGCACCAACTCGAAAGCATTGGAATGGAATCAAGCATGTATTACGGTATCTCCGTGGAATAGTGGACATAGGGTTATTATACGCAAATGACCAAAGTCCACAGTTAGTTGGATATGCTAATATTGGTTATCTTTCTAATCCACACAAGGCTTGATCACAAACTGAATATGTGTTTACTTATAGTGGTACGACTATATCATGGAAATCGGTTAAGCAAATGATGGTTGCTACATTATCCAGTTACTCTGAAATATTAGTCATCTATAAAGTAAGTCGAGAATGTATTTTGCTAAGCTCCATGATCCAACATATTCAAGACCACAGTTGACTATCTCCAATCAAAGTCATTCCAACAATATTATACAAGGACAATGTAGCCTGTATCACATAGCTCAAGGAAATATATATCAAAGGCAACATAACAAAACATATATGGCAGATTTGTTCACTAAAGTACTCTCACCGACTACATTCAAGAAATTAGTGAACCATATTGGAATGCGGCATTGCAAAGATCTATCAAGCTGAACAATCATCATTTTGAATGGATGCTTTCAATAAGGGGGGGTCTATACTCTTTTTTCCTTCGCTAAGATTTTTTATCACTGGGTTTTACTTAGCAAGATTTTTAACAAGGCAAATGCTTAGGATTTCAATGATTTTATCAAAATCAAATTTTTTGCCTTAGTGATATGTAAATAACTATCCAATGGGGAGTGTTGTAAATACTATTAAATTGGATGACTACTATACATAAATAGTAACAAATTGTATTTGAACATGACCACACAATGCATAAATAATTACCACATTTAATAGGGGACAGTTGGAGAGTTGAATTTTCAACTCTCCATCATCTTCTTCTTTGCCTATAAAAGGGCACTCCTCATGTTCAATGAAATATACAGAATAATATTAAAAAAAAAGAGAGTTTAGAAATATTGCTCTCAATATTGGTTTAGTATTCTTTGTTTTGTGTTCAATCAATTTAGTTATTTTACAACAAGAAGGATTAAATTTATTGACTAAATATTGATCAAATGTATAGATCTCATTATATTAATAAGGAATTTCAATGTTAAATGGAATTTATTATTAATTCAATGATATTAGATGTGACTAGAAAATTAGGTATAGTTAGTTAAAATGTTCAATGTTGCACCAAATTAGAACCACTATATAATTGGTGAAACTCAATCTATTAATATTAAAACTAGAAAGTTGAATTCTCAACTTATAAAAGTACAATAACAGTCAATATTGATTTTATCTTCATCTATCGGCTAAAAAAATCAACTCAATCAAGCCATTCTTCATTACCAATAACATTACTAATACATACATACCTATTGTTGAAAATAATGGTATATTTATTTAAAAAAGAAACCATTAAAAAGTGAATAAGAAATTATAAAAGTATTTGTGACTTTTGGAAACAATTAAAAAAGTGTGAAGTGAATATGACATGAAAGGTTATTAATTCAAAATTGATGACTTTTGATTAAAAACACTAATCCAAATAGTTATATCTTTTCATTTTTTCATAAAGTTGTCATTAACACTTTTTGGCTAAAAGATACCAATTCAAATAGTTGTCCCTTTTTATACAGTCACCATTGATACTCTTTTGGATTAAAATGTACCATTACATAAGATTACACCCTTTATGAAAAACCACTAGGGAGTTTATAAATAGGTGATTCCTTGCACTCCCAAGACATACCATTGAACAATTTAAGAATTGCTCTCTAATTCTAGTTCTCTCAATTATCTAAAATATTGATTGAGTATTCGGCCTTTCTTCTCTCTCTCTCTCTCTATGTCCATATTGTTGCATTATAATTTCACGTTCGTTTCAAGCATAAACATATAATTGTGTTCGTTGGAGTCTTAGAGATTAAAGTGTTGCATCTTCAAAAACGAAATATGTTCTATCTTAGGAGACAGTTGCTTATCAACTTTAAGCACTGAGAGGGAACAAATCTGTCTTAAAGAAATTGTGATTACACAGGACTCAAATTATTGTTTTTATTATTGGATTTTTAGTTTTCTAGATTTTACTATTCATGCCGTTCTGCGTCAATGTAAATGCACTGATTTTGATTTATATATATTATGTTTAGATTAGTGCATAATTTTAACTTTATATAGTTTAATATAATCTAATTATATACATGTTTTCTGTAACACACTTCTCCACTATCTCTTTTACTAGTGGGCACCCCATGTGATATATGAAATTTATTATTTTTTCCTATAATCAACTTACTACAAAATTCTCTGTAATCGTGATATCATTGGATAATTTTTATTAGTGTTAAAATGGTATTCATTTACATTTTAATAATTAACAAAGATGATTGAAAGTTTAGGGTATGTTTGGTTTGTGTTTAGAAAACAGTTTTTTGTTCTCAAATCTCTAAAAACAATGAAAATATTTTTGGTTAGTTTTTTCAATCTCTAATTTTCAGAAAAAAAGTGAGAATTGAGATGGATTTTTAGAGAACATGTTGGGGCTGTTTTGGTTGAATTTGGGAACAAATTTTCAAAACACAGAAAACACGGGAAACAAGCCCAATTTATGAGATCTCACCATCAAATCCCATTAACTACAAAATAGGAGCATCCACAATTAACTCTAGTTGCTTTTTTCTTCTCTACCGAAGTTTGACGACAATGTATGAGCATCGACAAAGGCCAAAGGTCGACAACGAACAACGGTAGTCTTCTCTCTCACGCAATCCATCTCTTATCTTTCTCTCTTTGCAACAGATTTGAACAGATCTGTATATATACACAGATTTGTGTATATATACAGATCTGTGATTTGTGTGTGTGTATATATATATATGTGTGTGTGTGTGTGTGTGTGTGATACAGATTTGTGTTATATATATGTGTGTGTGTGTGTGTGTGTGTGTGTAGGTGTGAGATGGTTGTACGTGTGGGTGGGTGTGCGATGGCTCTGTGTGTGGGGCTGTGAGACGATAATGTGGAGAGAGACAGGGGACTCTAGATGATGGTGGAGTTACAGTCGGAGAGAGAAGATAAAAAGTGTGATTTTTTTTTTGGGTCAAAAGTAATAAGTTAAAAATTAATATTGTGGATTATTGTCCAAACAGATTTTACAATTTTTTGTTCTTTAAAACTATTTTCAAAAATACATAACCAAACAAGTTTTACAATCTAAAAATTTTCAAAAACACTTTCTTAAAATTCTTCTCAAAAACTATTTTTAAATACTATTTTTTGAGATGCAAACCAAACATGCCCTTAAATTTTGAAGTAGTTTAAAAAAATGGTGGGAATAGTTTACAAACGACACATGCAATGTCTTGATTAGAGTGAACTAATTAAATATTTCAAAATTCTAGTAAATTAGCATTTGGGGAAGGAAAACCTTCTCAATGCCCATATCCCTAATTTAATTATTTTATAATATAGTAAGATTTATCTTATTTTCTCTCTGTTTACTTTAAGTTAAATTACATAATTAAAGAAAAATAAATAATTAATTAATTAATTAAAATATAAATATTAAATGATCAATATTTAATTTTTAATATTACAAAATATCGTTAAACACGAGGTTATTACTAGTTTTACTATATGTCTGAAGCTGAATAATCACTTAACTACTTGACTTCTGGCAATTCCACTTTATCTGTAACTCTTGTACTTTTAATATTTGTTTCTTATATTGAGTTAAACAATAATACCAAAAAAAATTATTTTTCGACATTATTATTGATAGAATAATGAGAATTTGTTTTCCTATGACTAATTAGCTTATCAAACCGAGATTAACAAATTGCTGTCCTGTTTTGAAGAGTTTGGTAATAATTTTGTGCTGTAACATGACCCTTTCTACCACCATCATGTAATTGCTATTGCCTGAACAGCACATACTTTAGGAACATAGAAGACCAACCATACACAATAACCTAAAACCATTTCTAAATGGGGGCATTCCACAGAGGTTTAAATTCAAATGATTGTGATGTTTTGAGTCTTTATATACCAATGATTCATCCTACCAGTGACCTAATGACAACCAGGCATCAAATGTATTGAACTTTGAGCTCTCTAATTTTCAAAGAATTAATGTCCCTTGGCTAGGGATGTATCAACATCTTGTATAGACCTAACAATCTCTCATTAACAATTGAATATGCTGTTTTGAATTATCCCTCATGATTAAGAAATCCCATTGTGAAGTAAACTAGATTTCGATATGTAACAACCTGACTCAACTGCTTGTGATATTGTCGGCTTTGGATTACCTCTTCAACTTTAAAATGTATCACAACAAACATATAAAGTCCACATAACCAAGCAATGTGAAAAATGTACAAGAACCAAACTTCTCACCTCACCTTTTTCCTGGGCTCTATGGCCCCTTGGACTGTTGGGCGATTGGACTTTTGGCAAGACCTCTTTGATTTTCGACTAAATCTGCAGATCATTACTGTGATTCAATTCTTCTACAACAGTCTTTACTGTCTAAAGCAAATACACTTCTCCATTTGTTTTTCTTTCGATATTTTGGGTACTTCTTGTAAGTACCACAGCAACTAAATTAGGCAATGACAAGAAGTTTACAACTAAAGTCCCTTGAAGCACTAGACATGGTACAATCTGAGATATATCGTCTCTATTGATCCCATAAAAATTGGCTTAACCAAAAGAAATGCAGAAGCCCAGGTATAAAAACTTAACACCATCTTATCTTCATCACCCCTCAAATCAATGAAAAATGGCTGAACTGGAAAAATAAATATAGAAAAAAAATGAGATGGAAACTAACAGCAGATTATCAGCGACAGTTTTTTGCTCCCCTTTATTAGCTTCTGGACCTACTCGCCATCTTCCTTGGCTTTGCACACTCTCCAAACCATAAAAATCGTCCACTTTTATGTGAATGCACCGGAGTCCCTTGCTGAAGCTGTTTACACAAGAAAATGTCACATGCTTCTTCGAAGTTAAATTAGTTTCTCTAAAAGAGGGCATAAAAGATATCCCTGCAATTTACCTTCCCCCTTTTATTATGTCTGGCATTATTCCAACAAAAAAGCCCACTGCAACCTCCATCTCCGGTCCCTGATTCATATCCCCTGTAGAGAAAACCAGAAAAGAGCATTAGCATTTTTAATGCATGAAATCTTCACAATTTACCCATACAAAACTCTAAAGAATATTACACAATTTTTTTTTTTGGGGGAGGAAGGACTTGAACCCTTGACCTCAAGAAGATAAAGCCTTCACAAGATGATGAGTACCATTGGACCAAAGGTCCATTGATCTAAAGAATATTACACAACGTATACACTAGTGACTGTTATCCTACTCATCAATCAAGTAAAATTAAACATTTATTTGAATGAATTACTAAGTGGGTTCATAAAGAAACAAAATTAACCAGCATGAAACTATACCAGCTGCAAATATCATGTTTAACATCTTGATAGATCTCACAGTTGTTATGCTTATTTAGTCCATTGAAGCCCAACTCTATATATTGTGTCAGTGGCAGAGTTGAAAAGAAAAACTACCTTGTACATGGTAGGCCTTTCAGAACATCATTGATTCATTGAGATTTACATATAGTTTTTGAATGCTACTATCTATTGTGATTAAACAGAATTTGAATATTAGTATCCATTAAACACAGGGCTATTGAAGAAAATGGTAAAGAAATCCTAATTAGTGATGAAAAACTTCAGTAATTTCAAAACCTAAGCAAAACTCAAATGAACTGCACCACATTTGGGCACTGTTCAAATCTCATAGAAAAACAAAGCACAACTAAATTACATCTATGAAATAGAATGGAAAGTACTTCGATTGTCACTCTTTAAACATTTGTGTGCAAACAGTTTACTCCATGAAATAAACTATAAAACGAAAACATGAATAACAAATCATACCATAATCACAATTTTATTAACATGGAATCAATAGTGGAACTGGTTTAAGAAAGTAGTATCACAAAGCACAAAAGCCCAGCAGCCATGTTTTATAAATGAACCTGACCCATGCTATCTTCTGCTACAATTACAATATGCTGCTAATTGATTCATACTAATGCAGAGCAATTAAACAAGCCTTACCATAGCAAAAGTGGGAAATTTGTTTTTATCAAATGATGAAACTTATTAATCTTTTAATATGTTTACTCACAGTTTAATGTTCTAGATCAAGAATTTAGATTGCAAACCATATGGAGCAAAACATAGCACGGGCATGAGCAAGCAAGTATACCTGGTCAATGCACTGAGTTCCAAGCAGTGTGAAGTTTTATATCCATTTGGTGTAAAGATGTTGATATGTACACACAAAAGCAATTGTCGATTTTGATATTTTTTCACAAACATCATAATGGTATATAACTCACATGTTCTCTTTGCTGAGATTGGCAACAAAACCGCTATCATGCAACAAACTTGGTGACATTGGGTAATGATTAGTCCTTTGACCAAGCTGGTCCTTCTGCAGGCACCTTGCATCATTAATCTTCAAAAGTTTGACTTCATGGTTTAACTCATCTTGCCAATTCTTAGACGATAAATCCATGGAATTCATTGATTCTATTTGATTATGGTAAGGGATACCATCTTGAGGCAGGACTTGATTTCTCTCAGGCTTCAGATTGCTCATTGTTGCAGGGATGCCTTTCTCCACAGCCTGTAACCAAGCAGTTTCTAATCTCTGCTCTCGGATAATGGATTCTATTCTCTGCACTGGAATCTCTGGCTTCCGGTCTTTTATACCGGTCAGTTTAGTATTTTCAGCAGCCGATTCACTGGGTCCGGCGGATTTAGCTTCAGCATCATTAAAACTTCCTGTGGATAACGTCAGTGGCTCCGGATGTGAATCAAGCTCAGAATTATCTTTTGCATTGTTGCAAATAATTTTTCTTTCCACGTTAATTGGACGATTTGTTTCCGTCAGCTTTGGACCTAACGAATCTGGTAGCACAGCTGGGTTTGCACTGTTTATAGAGGTATCACCATCCGGCAAAAATATAATTCTAGCCTCTATATTGCGTTGTAAAACAATTTCAAACGAGTTTGTAATACTGCTAAGGAACCTTTCAGCTCTGGTTTTGATATCTCTATCCCGAAAGGCAATATAAGCAACAAAACCACCTGCAAGAAGAAGATGTAAGACCTCGGCAAAGGGAACAGTCAAACATAGAGCTCTGCCACATGCGACAATGATGTGAGCCTACAAGTAAATTTTGCTACAGTGTGGGGCATAAACAGAGATGCGCCAGTTTAGAAACCTATGACTTGAACCTTGTCACAAACTGATAATGGTTAATGCTTGACACTCAGTCTATCATGAGATCCCAGGTGCATTTTAAACAACATTATAAAGAAAAATGATATAAACTAAAACCTATCTTATCGCTACAATCACCTGGGTAACTATTATCCAGTTTGATGTAGCAAGTGAGTGAACAAGCAAATAATTTAGCACGTTGAAAATGCCCTTCAAAATTCATATCAATCATATGTGAAAACAAAATAGATGTCATCTAAAAATCACAATAAAATGGCTCAATGTAGAAAATGCATCTGCAAATGGTAGAATCTCATTTCTCGACTTAAACATTGGGAAGACACTAGCAAGTATCGAGTGACAGCTAAAGGATTGATAAGCAAAGCAGTGAAGTAAGTGATCCAAACAAGAACTTCAAATTTGCATTCTGTACAGAGCCTTACTAGTGAAAATATATCCAGCATGGTAAAAAATATGTTACCTTCAATTTCAGAGATTGACACAAGCTTTCCATAAGTATGAAGCAGCAGCCTCAGTGTCTTTGAATGGCACCTTTCAATGCATTGCACCCATATATCATCCAGAGTGCTGTGAGTAGACTTGGCAGTGAAACTGACCCCGTCTGTTATGAAATGCAGATATTCATTATTGGTTGTATTTTGGTGAACTGGTTTAGGCCAGGATATAGGAGGAGTTGACTTTCGAGGTGCATAGTGAGCATTAGGCTTCTGCATTTGGGTAGTATCCTCTCTAAAAGTACAAGTTTGATCTTCCTCAGTTGTCTTAGAGCTTTGTCTCCTACTGCTTCCCGCATGAGGATCTGTTGAAGGGACAGAACCTAACTGTAATAGGGTTGCAGTGAACCATGTTGAACGTTCATTTGAAACCCTTAGCTGTTTCTCAGCATCGGAAAGCAGCTTCAAAGCATGCTTCAATCTCTCCAATTCTGATTCAGTCACTGTACAATACCTCCCAAGCATTTATAGCAATAATTAGTTAAGTTGCAAAATCAAGCAGTGGAGGGACTTGGCCAACATTTTTCTATAGATAAGGAAACACTTAAATAAATGAAACATTGATAAAAATTGTAAGAGGGAGTAGAGTACTTTTTGATCCGGCAAACTTACCATTGATATTATGATGATTGCTTTGGACTCCCAATGCAATGTTGTCAAAAATCAAATGGAATTTGCTGTGCAAACATTTATCATGCTATACGAGCACACCAAGTTGAAAACCACAGCCAAAGAAAAAAAGGAAAGAAAGAAAGTGATGAAAGGAAAGGAATGGTAAGATAAGATAACTAGAATAAATATATGTTATAGATGACCCAGTTATAGTAAGAGTAATTTACCAAAGTGCAGTAGTCTGCTCTGATTTAAAACAAATTTACTAAAATACAGTACTTTTAAACTTATTTACCAAATTGTGACACTTTTTAAAAACGGAGTCAATAATTCCACTTTTGATAAAAAATAAAAAATAAAAAAAAGGTCAACAACCCCGCTTTTAAATACAAAATCATTGAAACATTATATAATTAACGAATGAAAAACGTATGTACTAACTATGCTTTTCCTGCTGCACCAAAATCCCAGAAACTGGCACACTTTCTCCCCCCCCTCTCTGTCTTTATCTCTCTTCCTCTCTCTGTCTTCAACTCTCTACACAAGCACACACAAATGCACACTACACAAGTCTCTCTCTATCTTCATCTCCCCAAAATTTCCTCACTCTACTTCACCCTCTACACCTTAATCTCACACTCCCTCTTTTTTCCATCCCACCAACGTCCCTCTTTCTTCTTTGGTGATCGGCGACCCAATTCCAACTTTGGCGATTTTTCCCCCTTTTCTCTTCTCCGAAACCCTCACAACACCCACACACTCCACACAGTCTTTCTCTTCTTTGAAACCACTCAGAGCACTCACTCACCCATAACCACACCCTCCGCCAACACACCCATACACATACTCACATCACACATAACATCAGATTCACATGTATGGGTCTCATAATACAATATGTTGAATGGAATACAAATTGTTCAAATCATGTCGATCGACACTTTNAGTACAAGTTTGATCTTCCTCAGTTGTCTTAGAGCTTTGTCTCCTACTGCTTCCCGCATGAGGATCTGTTGAAGGGACAGAACCTAACTGTAATAGGGTTGCAGTGAACCATGTTGAACGTTCATTTGAAACCCTTAGCTGTTTCTCAGCATCGGAAAGCAGCTTCAAAGCATGCTTCAATCTCTCCAATTCTGATTCAGTCACTGTACAATACCTCCCAAGCATTTATAGCAATAATTAGTTAAGTTGCAAAATCAAGCAGTGGAGGGACTTGGCCAACATTTTTCTATAGATAAGGAAACACTTAAATAAATGAAACATTGATAAAAATTGTAAGAGGGAGTAGAGTACTTTTTGATCCGGCAAACTTACCATTGATATTATGATGATTGCTTTGGACTCCCAATGCAATGTTGTCAAAAATCAAATGGAATTTGCTGTGCAAACATTTATCATGCTATACGAGCACACCAAGTTGAAAACCACAGCCAAAGAAAAAAAGGAAAGAAAGAAAGTGATGAAAGGAAAGGAATGGTAAGATAAGATAACTAGAATAAATATATGTTATAGATGACCCAGTTATAGTAAGAGTAATTTACCAAAGTGCAGTAGTCTGCTCTGATTTAAAACAAATTTACTAAAATACAGTACTTTTAAACTTATTTACCAAATTGTGACACTTTTTAAAAACGGAGTCAATAATTCCACTTTTGATAAAAAATAAAAAATAAAAAAAAGGTCAACAACCCCGCTTTTAAATACAAAATCATTGAAACATTATATAATTAACGAATGAAAAACGTATGTACTAACTATGCTTTTCCTGCTGCACCAAAATCCCAGAAACTGGCACACTTTCTCCCCCCCCTCTCTGTCTTTATCTCTCTTCCTCTCTCTGTCTTCAACTCTCTACACAAGCACACACAAATGCACACTACACAAGTCTCTCTCTATCTTCATCTCCCCAAAATTTCCTCACTCTACTTCACCCTCTACACCTTAATCTCACACTCCCTCTTTTTTCCATCCCACCAACGTCCCTCTTTCTTCTTTGGTGATCGGCGACCCAATTCCAACTTTGGCGATTTTTCCCCCTTTTCTCTTCTCCGAAACCCTCACAACACCCACACACTCCACACAGTCTTTCTCTTCTTTGAAACCACTCAGAGCACTCACTCACCCATAACCACACCCTCCGCCAACACACCCATACACATACTCACATCACACATAACATCAGATTCACATGTATGGGTCTCATAATACAATATGTTGAATGGAATACAAATTGTTCAAATCATGTCGATCGACACTTTGAAGCACATTTTGTCTTGCAATTGTGTGTGTGTTTGTGTGTGTGTGTGTGTGTGTGAGAGAGAGAGAGAGATGCATATAGTAACATTTCTTTGTTATTGAGTATATTAATGCATTTCACATATAATATCAAGCTTGAAATTCAACAATCCAAAGCATCAAGAGCAGTTTTGTATTTACAAGCACATACATCGAATTGGAGAGTCCTCAAAGCAATTCAAGATAACCACGCTTCATGCAAAATAGCAAGAAAAATGTGTTTAATAACCAAGCGTAGTTATTAAACACGTTTTTCTTGTTGTTAATCATATAATGTTTCAAAAATTTGGTATTTAAAAGATGGATTGTTTACTCCATTTTTTAACAAAAGCGGAGTTGTTGACTCCGTTTTAAAACATGTTGTAGTTCAGTAAATAAATTCAAAAGTACCGTATTTTGGTAAATTTGTTTTAAAATTATTGCATTTTGGTAAATAACTTGTTATAGTGACTAGTGCAGATTCAAAATTTTGTAAGTTTCCAAACCTTGAACTCAACACCAAGATTAAAATAAGAAATTCAGACCTTACATTATTCAAGAAAGGACCTACAAAAGGTCTCAAGTTCAACATTTTTCATACCCCCCAAAGGTCAACGTCGTTGTTCCTCAAGGAACATGTTTTAAATTTGCTTAGACTACGATAACTAGAATCTGAGCTCGAGAGAGTAGTCAGCGCAAACTTGGACACCCAATAGCAAAAAAAAATACCTACAAAAGTCCCAAAATGGACAATTTGTTGATTAGTCTAAAGCTACTAATTACAGAGGCAAGGCTAGAATTGAACCTAGGACCATTCAATAATGAAACCAAAGTTACTATATCTTTGACTAACGAACTATGAGTTAAATGTAAGTATATAGTCAACTCAACAAAATCTTAACTAATTTTATTTGGGGTTAACTATAAGGATCTTGTTCTATCATAATGATCTATCAAGGGTCATATTCAGTTAAATCACAAGTGATCATATCCTTTTTTAATATCTAATTGAACGTTGATTTAAGTCTCTATTCTGATAAGAAACATAACTTTGCATTAAATAGATGAAAATGCCCTAACAACATTTTGCACTCTGATGAATGGTTGTTCCACCTCTACAAACTAAGATTGTTACCGTTAATTATCTAGCTACATGCCGCAATCCAAAACTGTACTAAGAATGGCATGTCCATATATTCTTTAGCTACCACCACCCAAAAGGAGGACAAGAACTTATTTTTGTTCCATAAAAATTTGGCGTATTCTTCCATCCTATTAAAAATTCTTCTATTCCTGTTCATCCATCCACCCAAATAATCTACATAGGGCCAGCAACTTCTGTCTAATACAAAACCACATTTTCCCTCCCTCAAAACAATGCTCCTCTTGCTCAAAAAACTTGAGCATACTCCATTCCACACATTCTCACAGTATGGAAGCCCTACATCCTTTCCCAAAAATAACATAATTAATCTCAAATCACAAACCACAAGCTCTTGGAGTTACCCAACTCAAACTAAACTCTCCATAAGCTTTATGTCACCATTACAATGCCACATGACAATTGATAAAAAGGTAATCCACATTTTCACGACTCATCCTACACATAATACACCATTGAGGAGAAAGACAAGTATTTCGTCATTTCCTTTGCAATGAATCACAGGTATTTATTTTACCGTGGGCCACAATCCAAGCAAATACCTGCACCTTAACGGGTACTTCAACATTCCAAATCATCTAAGGGGCTTCAAAAATTGACATAGATGGGTCATCAACCAACGCATGAAAATAAGATTTACATGAAAAAACTCTAAGAGGGTCAATAACCCACAATCTCTTGTCATCCAATCCCAACACTAGTGAGTTTTGTTGGATCAAAGACAACAAAGAGAAAATTAAAAAATTTCCATCACTTCCCTATCATCCAATGCTTTAAGTAAATTGAAATCATGCCCCGTTGAACAGAAGATATATTATACATACTTGCAATGGAAACCTCTTGATTTCAGGATAATCTAACAAGATAAGGATATGGTAAAGGAAAATCACAATCCCCACCATTTATTTCTCCAAAATCCTATTCCCCACTATATCTATCATCGTGTCACTCTTCTTCACTGTTGCAATCTTCGGACTTCTATAAATATGTCCAAGCAACTTAATTTGATTACGCCTTTATTTAGTTCCGATTGATACTGTTTCTACTATTTCAGAAATGTATTCTTCTATCCTTCTAGGCATCTATCTCAACGGCCATATTTTAGATACACTTAGTTTCTAAATATGGTGTTTCCTGTTTGCACAATTATTAGTACCATAAAGCAAGGTTGGGCTTATGATTGTTTCATGGAACTTACTATTCAACTTATAAGATGGATGTTGAGCACAAAAGACACCAAATGCACTACATAGGCTTCCAAAAGGGTCCATTATTCTTCTGCTAGCACTTAAATGAGTTTCCCTGCATGTCTCTTCCTCAAGAGACCTCATTTCCATATTGACTAGGTGGTCTCCATTGCACCACCAACTTTGAGATAATAGGGTTCGCTGAACCCAATGGAGCTATCAATAATCACTGAGCAACCAAACGCATCCTTAAAATATAAATTTACCATCTTTGTGCAGCAGAAATTTCAGGCTGAAAAAAGAAAATAGGAAGAGTGAGGTAGGTGATACTTACAACTTCTCCCTCCAAAGAATGAATAATCGTATTTGCCATCAACTATGTGGTAAGTTCCAGCAATAATGTCCATAATAAGAGACGCCAATTGTGACATCAAAACCATTGGATCAATCCCTAAGTCCATCAACTCTCTGGCTCTTTTTACTGTTTCAGCAGTGTCAGATGACATGGCCAACTCTAGAAGTTCCAGTAGTTTCTCATCTGAAACCACACCCACCTACAGAAAAGAAAGTAACCAAGTTTGGAACACTCGATAAAATAATCAACAATGATTTTTGAGGCATCAAGATTGCTGTAATATGCCAATATCAATTTGATCTTGTAGAAAACGCAAAAGAATTACTTAGTATCTTTGCTTTTAACCTAAGCTACAATGTGGATATTACAGTTCAAATCCAATCAGGAACAATTAAATATATTAAAAGTGTAATCTACTCAGGTTGAAGACTTGAAGTTGACAATGTGAAGAAGCAAAAGAAATGCAAACTCACAAGTTCATTAACTAGAGATGTAGTGATTCTTTTTCCCAGTAAACTCAACTGATCTAACATAGTTTCTGCATCACGAAGTGATCCATCTGCATTCAAAGCAATCAAATCGAATGCATCTGATTCAACATCTAAATTCTCATCCGTGGATATCTTCCTCAACCTGTTCACAATGTCACCATCTTTGATTTTGTTGAAGAGGTACTTCTGGCACCGGGATAATACATTTTGGGGCACATTGTCCAGATCAGTCGATATGAAAATGAACACAACACGTGGAGGTGGTTCCTCAAGAAACTTAAGAAATGCCAGCCATGTCTTCGAAGGCAACAAGTGACACTCATCAACAACAAACACCTTGTACCGGGAAAAGGCCGATGGCTGGCCAACTGAAATGTTTTTTAAAAGGTACCTGACTTTATCAATTCCCTTCTTGTTGGTGCCATCGACTTCCCTAAGATCCTTGCTCTTGCCAGAAATGAAGTCAGTACATTCCCGACAAACGCCACAGGGTTTAGTTTCTTCAGTGGCAAGGCAATTCAAAGCAGCTGCAAAGATCCTAGCAGTCGATGTTTTTCCAGTCCCACGGGGACCCTGGAAAAGATAAACGGGGGCAATCCTTCCCCTTGAAATTGCATTCATAAGTGATTGAACCACTATATTCTGTCCAACCAACTCCTCAAAGAACATTGGTCTATACTTCTGGCTTAGGCTCCTGATATTCTCTGGTGTACTTTGCTCATCTCCTTCACCATTTTGGACTCTTAGCTCTAGCCCGTCTCGACTCCTACAACTTGATGACCACCTCCTTCCATCCAACCGACTCAAGGCCTCCAAATCAAGCTCTCCAAAGTTTGTGGAAAGCTCATCATCACTATTCCCTGTTCCTATAGATGACCCACCTCTGCAATCACCACTATTTGTTAGCAATGGGATAAGACCTTGAGCAGTCCTAGAAACAGGCCTCCTCTTGTTAGACCCCAAGGATGATCCACGACGCTTTCGGTGATACATACTTTGGCTTCCACACAAAATGCTGCTCCCTTTCCTTCTCAAAGTATCAGAAAACGATGGAGAATAACAACTCCCACACCCCCCTCTATACTTTGGCGTTGACCTTTTTGACCAACAGGAAATCCCACATCCCTGCCTACCCGGCAAATCCAACTGCTCATCCACCTCATCATCCCCATCGTTGAATGACCCTGTTGTGGCATCCCAAGACCCAGCATTGCTCGGGTTTCGATTCCCATATATGTTATGAGAACTGGTGGACATTGCCGGAGTGCTATACGAATAAGATGACTCGTCTTTTCTGCTATTCCTCAACCAATTGGCCGAGGAATGAGACCAATTCTTATGCTTGAGCAATGTTAGCAATTGTGAAGCCGCCGAAACCCGTCTTAAATCCTCTGAGTTACAATAATCTTCTGTATCATCGGAAGGATCAACTAAGCTCACTGAATCGTCACGACCCAAACCCAAAGCAGGTAAATTCTTCAATACCCTTTTCGAACTCTTACTGAGAACAATCTGTTTTTGAAGTTTTTCTTGATGGTGTCTCGAAATAGCATTAGAATGCATACTTTTCTTCGATTTTTTCTTTACTATTCGCCTAATTGATGGTGTAAGAGTTGTATCTTTACACTTAGAAATCATTGAAGCATACCTACCAGTTATATAAGTATCACTTTTAGAATCATTACCACCATTTTGGGCATCGCTCAAGCTATCCTCAATACTCTCCTCGGGAACCGAAGAAGACCCATCATCATTCTCATCATCACCTTGACCATGACGATTCTCTCGGCGTTGCTTATCCTCCGATTGTAGCGTTGCAGCACTTCTTTCACTCTCTGATTTTCGAGTCCTCCAATTGTGCAGAAACACCTTCTTCTCACTCACATTGGCCCTAAAACTTTCAACTCGTAATGGCAACTGATAAAGCTGTTCCGACAAATTATCGAAAGGGTTGTTTCTACTGTTATCATTATTCTTGTGGTGATGATGGTAATAGTTGGTAGCGGAAGAGGAAGCCGCCGTGTTTGCAATGGCGGATCTGGCGGAGCCGAGTGGGGACCGCCAGGAGGAGGTGGTTCCGGGATCACGAAGCACACGCGCCGCCTTGCGGATTTGGGTCAGTTCTTTCTTCAAATGCAGATTGCTCGGACCAACACCAACACCACCACCAATTCCGCCGCGGCCACGCAGTTCTGACATGCCGACTTTTTTAGTCTGGAATTGAAAAAAAACTCACAATCAAAGTAAGTCCAAACAACCCAGAAAAACCTCATTCATACCCCACGTTGCCAATGTATATTTCAAATCACATTCACTAAATGGTGGGAATGGGAAGATTGATCAGTGGAGAACTGCAGATCTGACTAACATGTATATTTTCACACATAAGAGAGAAAGAGAGATAGAGAATGGAGAGATAGGTCAGTGGAGACCTGCAGATCTGACTAACATGTATTTTCACACGAGAGAGAGAGAGAGAGAGAGAGAGAGAGTTTTGGGGTTTTAGGAGATGAGAGGCGAAAATGGAGGTGTGATTTATGGAGAAGAGATTGGGTGGTGGGTTGTTGGGTGTTTGTATCAATGAAAGTTTGATCATTTTCATGGAAATTGAAAATAAAACCATGAAAATGGAAACTCCCTCCAATCCCGCCCAAGATACTTCCACGCTCCCATAGATTCTTACGTTATTTCTTTGCATTTGTCTAGGATTTACTTCATACTTTTGTCGGACTGAGACCCTTCCCATTACACTTTTATTTAAATTCACTTAATGTTAAATCATCTAGAAATCCACTAATAAATGGTAAGTTTCATATGTATTAATGGTAAATGATATGCTTTGAGTGAAGAATAATGAAGAAGATTTGGATCCACTTTTGTCTACCTCCTTAACTGTTTTGTTATTAGAATGTAAATTATTTTTACGACGTGATGTTTCCTTCGCTTTGATTCGAGTAAATATTCAGCGTAATAATGAAAAATGTTCATGATATCTTAAAAAAAAAAAAATTNCCTCGGGAACCGAAGAAGACCCATCATCATTCTCATCATCACCTTGACCATGACGATTCTCTCGGCGTTGCTTATCCTCCGATTGTAGCGTTGCAGCACTTCTTTCACTCTCTGATTTTCGAGTCCTCCAATTGTGCAGAAACACCTTCTTCTCACTCACATTGGCCCTAAAACTTTCAACTCGTAATGGCAACTGATAAAGCTGTTCCGACAAATTATCGAAAGGGTTGTTTCTACTGTTATCATTATTCTTGTGGTGATGATGGTAATAGTTGGTAGCGGAAGAGGAAGCCGCCGTGTTTGCAATGGCGGATCTGGCGGAGCCGAGTGGGGACCGCCAGGAGGAGGTGGTTCCGGGATCACGAAGCACACGCGCCGCCTTGCGGATTTGGGTCAGTTCTTTCTTCAAATGCAGATTGCTCGGACCAACACCAACACCACCACCAATTCCGCCGCGGCCACGCAGTTCTGACATGCCGACTTTTTTAGTCTGGAATTGAAAAAAAACTCACAATCAAAGTAAGTCCAAACAACCCAGAAAAACCTCATTCATACCCCACGTTGCCAATGTATATTTCAAATCACATTCACTAAATGGTGGGAATGGGAAGATTGATCAGTGGAGAACTGCAGATCTGACTAACATGTATATTTTCACACATAAGAGAGAAAGAGAGATAGAGAATGGAGAGATAGGTCAGTGGAGACCTGCAGATCTGACTAACATGTATTTTCACACGAGAGAGAGAGAGAGAGAGAGAGAGAGAGTTTTGGGGTTTTAGGAGATGAGAGGCGAAAATGGAGGTGTGATTTATGGAGAAGAGATTGGGTGGTGGGTTGTTGGGTGTTTGTATCAATGAAAGTTTGATCATTTTCATGGAAATTGAAAATAAAACCATGAAAATGGAAACTCCCTCCAATCCCGCCCAAGATACTTCCACGCTCCCATAGATTCTTACGTTATTTCTTTGCATTTGTCTAGGATTTACTTCATACTTTTGTCGGACTGAGACCCTTCCCATTACACTTTTATTTAAATTCACTTAATGTTAAATCATCTAGAAATCCACTAATAAATGGTAAGTTTCATATGTATTAATGGTAAATGATATGCTTTGAGTGAAGAATAATGAAGAAGATTTGGATCCACTTTTGTCTACCTCCTTAACTGTTTTGTTATTAGAATGTAAATTATTTTTACGACGTGATGTTTCCTTCGCTTTGATTCGAGTAAATATTCAGCGTAATAATGAAAAATGTTCATGATATCTTAAAAAAAAAAAAATTTGATAACATACCCCGACTAAGTTATAATGTTAAATTTTTTTGACTTTGTTTATAACCGGTTGTCATATAAATAGGGGTTAATCTTATGTTACACCCCAAAAGATGCATTGATTTTTAATTTGTATTTTTAATGTTATGGATTGGTAATAATGTAGACCTGACTCAAATTATTTTTTAATTTTTCGTCATAAATTGAAGAATGTAAGTTACAAGTATTTTGGGCATGGACTTATATGTAAGTTTACATATGATTGGCGTCTCATGTGAGTTGCATAATATAGGATTAACTTATATCTAATTAATGAAATCTTATTTTTGATAAACAAAATGGTACCAAATTAATCACCGACAAAGATCTACAGCAATAGACATACCTCATCCTCATACTTGAAGCACTTTTGTTTCACGTGCTTTAATTTCTGATGAAATTTAACTGTAGTCTGAGTTAGGTTCACATTACTGTCAATTTATAACATTGAGAGTATAATTGAGATTTGTAATATTTAATAATATAAATTGAGATTCAAAATATCTTTCCAGAGTGCAAAGTGAGATTAACCCTAAAAACAGTAAAATAAACCAATTTAACATGTATTTCATTTTTAATAGATGAAAAATAGAGATTTGATATCAAAAAATAATTTTTTAATACCATAGTTGGATCCATATCAATGATATCAAATTATTATTAATACTTAATATAACCAATCAATAATAAAATAACATACTAGTTATTATTAGATGTTATGATTATTGAAAGTTATTATAGTAAGGGATCTACTAAGTTTATATGGTATTCTATAGTTAGTTGATGATATCGCTTGTTAACTATGACTATCAATTAGTTTTTGATTCAATAGTACTCCTTACTTTGTGAAAATTTTGTCTTCTTAAGATCAATGTTTCAGGTCTACCTCCCCCCCCCCAAAAAAAAAGAATGTCTTCAACTATGAGATGATATCAATGTTATATTGATTGGAAAATACAATTAAGTTTTTATTTTAAAAAGGGTTTTTCGTATTTTACACCCTAAAAAATTTCAAATTTCTTACTTTACACACTTATAGATTAAATTTCTTATATTGTACCCTCAATGTATCAAAAGTGTTGTTATGTAAGTCCTTACATTAGTTTATGTTATTTTTTCTATCAAAAGACTGTCCATTGACATTGGAAGAAAAAGCTAATGAAAGACTAATAAAAAGATTACATTATAACACTTTTGATAAATTAAGGTGTAATGTGAAAATTTTAATTTTTAAGAGTACAAAGTGAAAATCTTGAATTTTTTTAAGAATGAAAAGTGCAATTCGTACCTTTAAAAATTCAAACCTTTTTCAATCAATTGTATTTGTTGACAGGGGTAAATCTAACAACCTTTTTTAAAAAAAAAATAAAAAAAGAAGAAGATCCTTTAATCCTTTTAAAATTAGAAAGGAGTGGGAAGCGTTTTACCGTATCATACAAATAACCATTTATTGGGAAAAACAATAAAAGATGATCATAAAAATATTTAATACTAAATGTCGAAAATGGAATATATTTGGTAGGTCAAAGAATAGTAACATGTTGGATCAAGTTGTAAATTAGCCAAAAAAAAAAGTTGGGTTTCTTTTCCACATAAAATAAGAATGTTAAGACAAGAAGCAGATTTAAATGTTAAACCATCAAGAGTTGTATGCATGCATTTGAATTTATCATGATTAAATTTACCAAAAGGAGGTAGAATTCAATCTCAAGGTTAAAGATTCATATCTTGATCATATCATTGTCTCCTACAAACAAATGTTGAACTTGCATCTTGTTACTAGCTGCAATGTACAAAACCTAACATACAAATGTGTGATGCCACTAGAACATTTTGGAACAAAAAAAAAACTTGATAAACTACTTGCCACATAAGGGAGTGTTGATTCTAACCTACCAATCGAGGTATGATGTTCCGTTGTCCAAATCAAAATTCAAAAATCTATCCTAGACTTATTTACACCATACATCGAGCGGAAAAAATTAGTTTCTTAAGACCCGCAAAATAATATATGTGGTAGTGCTGTGTATGTATTTGAGATGAGAAATTTGGTTTTTGGTTTGAACAACATAGTACTGCTCCCACCTCGAGTGCCAAGATGTTCTTGTGGGACACTTACCCTGTATCAGGTTCGATTTCCTTTCTCCTGTACATTGAAGTATACCATTAGTTATTTAGAAAAAAAACTTACCAACACTCGTCGATATAGAGAATAAACACCAATTGGATATCAGTTCAAACAATAGTACTATTCTCATCACATAAATGATATGTTTCATTTTTTTTTATTTTCCCACTAACTAATGTCTCATTAACACCTATCGGATATTATTTAACCCCTTGATATAGTGGTGATTAGTGTATCATGTTAAGTAGAAAGTCAAATTAGATAAACGAAGTTTGATAAACCAATCAAAGTTATTCCAATTATTTATACCAAATCAATACTAATAATGACAGTTAAATTAGTGGATTCCACTATCTTCGCAAATCATCCAAAGACGGTCTATGTATAACATCATTGACATTGTAATTTGATCAAAGAAAAAAACTTGATAGATACGACAGTATGCAGTCCAAAACCGAAGCTGTTTCCATCATAATCTCCAAGCTAGGTAGGTGCTCTAGGTAGCCCATGCCCAGGTCCATGCCCATGTCCCTCTCACTTATCTCCATATATATATATATATGCAAGCAGACAAGCGTGGGGAGAAGTGGTGGAAGCCCAAGACTAAACTGAAAGAGACAGGAGAAGAAAAAAAAGCCGGGGTTTATGCCTTAAACTAATCAATGATTACAATAAACATCATTGTAAATAAAGGTGTTTTTCTGGTCAAAAAGATCCTTCAACAGTGTCTTTGTTGGAAGTTATCAATAACGAGACATTTTAGGTTGTCAACCATCATAACATCAATTCACAACTCATCATTTTCCGAAATGGATTTGGATCCTTTTTATACATTTATTTTTAATTTATTTTATTGACATACTTATCCATCCGACCAGATGGATAAAATCATGCATGTCACATATAAATATAATTATTACGAATATTATATGTTTGTCATGTAATTTCGTTCCTAAAATTTGAATTACCAATCTAAAACAAGTGAGAATATTTGGTTCACGTGACTTCCTTGGCTTCTTAAGTTACTCCTTCGATTACTTGGTTCCGTTACAACACTTTAACCCACAATATTTTATAAAATAATATGATATGTGTGTTCGAGTTTTGCAACTCTAAGTACTTATACAGGGCAACACTTAGATTAGGACAGAACATTCCTCGAGATGGGCAAGTAAAGAACCAATTTTGGGAACAATGACTTATAGAGAATGTTACTTTGCTCGTAAGGATCAATTTCTAGTCGATAAAGTTTTCACATAATTTCCTTTGGATTGGCCTAACATTCGTTATAGTCCTCATTCAATGAAAAGAAACTTCATTTCAGAACGGTAGTTGAGAGTTGTAGACTTTGATTAGTCAAAAGACGAGTATTGTATGCTGTAATCAGATGGGCAGTAGTGATTTTGCCTACAAACAAACGCAATGCCACATTCAGTCTTTGACTGGTTAGGGGCTCTGTCAGTTATATAATCAGGGCATAATGTGTCAAATCAGATGATAATTCGTATCGTATTATTTTGAATTATATTATTTTTATATTATGTTATTTTGATTTTTGTCGTGTGCTTGTCCATGTTAGTGTTAATAAAAAAATATTTAATTATTTTTATGTAGACAAATTAAAAATAATAACAAATTACTTATTTTGGTGCGTATAATACCAAACAAATATATTAATCGTGTCTAACGTAATCTAATCAATTTATTATCCGCATGACTGAATTATGTCATTTTNATATATATATATATGCAAGCAGACAAGCGTGGGGAGAAGTGGTGGAAGCCCAAGACTAAACTGAAAGAGACAGGAGAAGAAAAAAAAGCCGGGGTTTATGCCTTAAACTAATCAATGATTACAATAAACATCATTGTAAATAAAGGTGTTTTTCTGGTCAAAAAGATCCTTCAACAGTGTCTTTGTTGGAAGTTATCAATAACGAGACATTTTAGGTTGTCAACCATCATAACATCAATTCACAACTCATCATTTTCCGAAATGGATTTGGATCCTTTTTATACATTTATTTTTAAT